CCATGGCGGCAGGCGGCGCCACCCGCGGTATCATGGCGGGCGGCACAGGTGGTGCTAGCGGTGGTGGTGGGGACGGAGGAGGCAGTGGTCCAGTCAGTGGCCCCAGCAGTGGAGGTCCGACCAGCGGTCCCGCCGGAGGTATGTCGGAGACCCGGACGGGCTTTCTGATGCCGTTTGCCGCTGCACTGGCCTCGGGCCAGGAACGTCTGTCTCGCGGCACGACGGGCGGACACACATTCACGTCTGATGTGAGCAGCAGTACGGGCGGTGGTGCAGGCAGTGCGGCCAGTGGTGGTGATGCCAACCGTGGTTTCTACCGCGTCTCCGGCAGGAAGCTGCCGTCCGTCTTGTATCACGGGGGCGATGGCTACGCTGATCCGCGCGAGAGTTTGATGAGTGTCAACCCGTCATTGTATCGGGACTCGCAGGGTTTCTTTGGCGGTGCTGGTGGACCTGCCACGACGCCCGTGTCTCGGTATGCGGTCGGTTCTCCCATGCGGCCCGAGAGTGGTGTGCCCATCGTTCAGCCTGGTCCTGGCAAGGCGGTTGCCATGCGGGTGCCAATATCACGACACGATTCGTCCATACACGACGACACTGCCTCGATTCGGAATCTCACACCGCCGCCGGGCATCGACCCCATCGGTCGGTCGCTGGCCTCGCAAGACGACTCCCGAGGCTCTGGATCGCGCTTCACGGAAGATATTTTCTGATGAGTCGAGGGCGTGGCCCACAGCCAGTTCTCGTCTTCTCGCATATAATGTCTAAAACCGATTCCTCTTTCGCGCCTTGGTTCTCATTCTCTAACCTCCGCGGCAAATCGAAGACCTACCAACTATCCTCAACATCTACAAAAACTACAATATCTACAGTATAAAGCATGGCTTGGCGTTTGAATTTCCCACTTCTCATATTTTCCATGTTTTTATTTTATTTTATATTGTGGCATAGACTTGCCGGCGCCTTTAAGTCACGAGGCTTCCTGTTCAGCATGCCACGCTTTCTCGACACTCGCTCACTCACACGTTTGCCTTTTTGATATTTTATCCCGTTTTCGTCTTTTTTGATATATCCAAACTGGCCTCCGGCCCTGTTTTCAATTCTTTTCTTATTGTCGGTCGTGTTCTGCTTCTTTGCCTCCCTAGACAACCATAATGACTATAGAGGTACCTTTTTTATACATAGCTCAGCGGTATTCCATTTTCTTGTCAAAAAGCCAGCTATTCCAAAGAATGAACCGTTCTTTCGGTTTGCTTTTAATTGTCCTGATTCAAATCTTAGAAAGGCGGTCCCCTACAGACTTAGTGAGGTGCATAGACTCGGGCAAGTTACCATGAAGGGTTCACATCTCAACATGAGGTCCGCCGATGCCTGGTGCGTTTTAGATTCTCTTTCTTTCGCCTACCGTAGACGTGTAACGTCGACAAGAACCAAGGAATAATTCGAATGAAAGCAGAGTCAGCCCTGTGGGTAGCAAGGGTTGGCCATCTCGTGAATTTCGTCCCACGTGTCGCCCCTCGCATCGACCAACTGCTGCCCATGCACCCTGGCAATTCCAAATGTCGGACAAACTGCAGACAGTACGAAAGACACAAGACAGGGAAGGCAGTGGGAAGAGCAATAGTATGGACAGTTTGCAACAAATGTTGTCATCATGACATTGTTGATAACTTGCCTGTTTTATTTTTGGGTCGCAGGGAGTTGGTAACTCAAATTACGCGTGATCGGCGAGCATTGGTACGTCGTAGCCAGTGATTCATACCATATTTTGCATACCGTCGAGACTTCTTCCATTCCCCTTTTTTGGAAACAGTTTGCACCTTGGCTGTACCAAGCTCTTCCGAGTCGCCCGCCGCCGTGAGCAGAAGGGGGACGATTGTGAGGTAGGGGAAAGGGTCGCAGTGCGCTGTGGTCGGGTCCTTGCATCGGTTTGTTGTGAGACAGTCCTGAAACATGAAGAAGCAGCAACTCAGAAAAGTAGACTGGGCGAGACTGAAAAAAAATAAAAATAAATAAATAATAATTTAACGCAAAAACACCAGACCGACACGACAGAACCAAGAAAACATGACAGAGCAACCCCGATGCATCTTACGCTCAGCGAGTATTTGTTGTGTGAGTCTTTTGTTCTTTTTCACAAACGCGGCGTATCCCGATCGCCTCCTGCCCGATCCTCGAAACGTCACTAATTCGCAACATGGCAACGTCCAACTACGCTTGGACGACTGCGGCGTACTCCGTGTCTGCCTTTTTTTTCGTTTCCTTTTGTCTATCATTGTTCTTGCGTCGAGAGGACGTGATTTCTCCCGTCTCCTGTTTGCGATGAGATGGTGATTGGCGAGAGGATAAAAGACGAGACAAACGAGGAAACACTCGACCGTTTCGTCGTTTTCGTCGCTTTACGACGAAACAAACTGAAACATGGGGCGACAAAAGCATGCACAGCACGACGTCCAGCATATTGGGCCCTGCAGTAGTGAGAGAGAGCAAAAACGGAACATCACTTCGTCTTTTAATTCCGTATTTTATAGAAAAAGAACGAAAACGGAAAAGAAACGGCAAATCCCGCCGTCTGGAAGGGCACCTTGTACGAATGTCCGTTTACTCCATTCGATTCATCTCCACTCTTTCGCAAAGTGATGTTCCCAGTCTCCGTCCAGACCGACCGGCTCTGGCACATCCCGATCAGACGTTAACCCACCCCAAGGCGCCCAAGACCACCCCTCCACTTTGGCCCAGCCTCCATGTACTTTCACCCTGCAAGTCGTCCTCGGAATTTGTTATGATAGAATTACAAACACGTATGGGCGCATCCCATATAGAAAGCTCTGTCATATGACGTACGACGTCCGTAATTTGATCTAATACATATAGAGCGTATTACTTTGGGCTTGCGCCGTACCCAGTGCAGAACTTGCAAAGTATGTCGTAAGATACTTGTTTTGCTGCGACGGAGAGTTCCGCCGACCATATGGCCACGGACGGCAAAATACAAACAGTCCTTGTATGGGTTCTGTCACAGTCCACATTCTCAGCTTCGTACCGTTTCTTCCTTCACCCGTCAGCCCTTGGCACTCGGCGCCCCTGTCTGTGTGGCGCGCCGTTGCATCCCCATTTCCTCCTGTCTCCTTGTTTTCATCTCTGTCCGTTGTTGTATCGACTCTGTACGACATACACGCAACCGAGGCTTTGGTTCATTGTTGGGACTGTCCGCTAGACAGCCCGACAGACTTCGCGCCGGGAATCCGTCTCAACTTTGACAGTCTCAAGTTTGAGGCAGCCCGGTGCAAGGCAAGGGACTCTGCTGGACAGAGCAGAAACTGGGCGATGAGAGAAGCATGCGATAATGACCAGATGAGGTTTGCGTTGAAGATGACGCACGCCGATGATAATGTCGGTCGCCGTGTGAACGTCAACTCTGCGACCATGACATGCGACAACTCACAAGTCGACATTGCATTTCGTCGACACACACATTTGCCTTCTGCCCTCCGTCCTCCATCTTCAAACCCCGTTCCCAAACGCGCGGAATGCTCGGCGTTGCGCTTTGCGCCACGATGGAACGGGGAATCGGCAGGTCCTTTCCCTTTTGGTCTTACTCCACTGCTGTCGCGACATGTTCTGGGCCATGCTCTGCGCTACCTGCCGCGCTAACGGCGTGTCTCTTTCCCCATCTCCGAATCGTCCCTTCCCCCAATGGCCCTTTTGTTTGGCCGACGCAGCGTCGCTCTTGCCCTCGATTTCTGATATCGCCCTGCGGGAACTGTGCTTTGGAAACTGCCGCTTGTATCTCTGGGATACACCAGACGGAAGGTGCTGTGACGCCAGGACGCAGTCTCTTGCCCCGTTAGTGGAGACGGACCAACAAGGTCAAGACGGAGAAAATAAAAGGAAGGCGCGAGGGTAATTACGGGGTACGCATTTTGGGTATGGATGGAGTAATACCACAACAGCAGTGCCCCCTCTTTGTAAATCTGTTAAACGGCCCGTGGTAGTAGGCGTCTGGCTTCAGGATTTGTAACGGCACTTGTAAAATGGTAGTATCTGACGTGGTAGACAGGCTCAGAAGGTGTAGCACCGTTGCCCTTCAGACGGTTTGAGTAGCATTAGACTGCCTGCCTGACTCGCCCGAAAACCAGTGCCTCGAACTGCACCCGTGCTAGCGCATTCGGGAAGTGCGCTTTGCACGCTGGCACTGTTCATTGTTCCTGCCGTTTTTACGGTCTTACACTTGCAGCAAGAGGAAAGTGGAGCCATTGTCTGAATGCGTGAGGGGGAGTGACCCGCTAAACCCCCGGCGGACTGGCTGTAACTGGAACCAATCCAAAACTCGACCAGGAAGCGACGACCTTCTGTTTGCGTTTCTGTGCCTGCCTCTCAGCACTGGTCTCATCGTTTTGCCAGTCGCTACTGCGACTTTCACCCATTTGCGTTGCACGTTGCACTTTCCCGTTGTAGCCAATGCCTTCCCGCCCTGCTCGTTTCGATTCTCACGAACCTTCCTACACACATCGTCTTTTGCCTCCTTTTCTTCATTTTGTTCCCATTCTCCTTTTTGGTATCTCGCTTCCGCCTATCCCCCATTCCCTCCACCTGCGGCGCTCACGTTGTCAATGATGACGTGCTGACACTATCTGACTGCCTTCCATTCCTCGCTTGCCTCCCCGACCTTTGCCCACGACATACGATATCACCGACAAATACCGACAGATTAAGAGTTCAGATCAAGAGATCAATCCATCGTCTTCAGCTAACGAACGGCCTCGACGACGCGGGCATTTCCGGCCTTCCCCGTACGACCGTCTCTGACCGAAGACGACAGGCGCGTACTCACACTCGCTGATCGATCCGCGCATCCCGCCACGACGGCCGAGCCCTTCTCTGCGACGCTCCCCATTTCCGGCCGTGAACTGACCTGGTAACCTGGCAACGCGTTGATTGACACCACCGCTCCTTCTCGAAGCCTGAACCGCGGGAGACGAGTCCTTTTCCCGTCCCACATGGACCAATCCCACCACATGGGCAGCCCCGACCAGGGCTTCCCGCTGCCGTCTCTGCCGCCCATCTCCGCTCCGCCGCTGCTCAACCGCCAGCCCCAGCTCTTCGGCAACACATTTGACCGGCTGCCTCCCATCCACATGCCCTCCGACATGGCCGCCGCCCACATGTTTGGCAGCGACCCCAACGCCTACATGGACGACGCCAACGAGGCCAAGCGGCGACGCATTGCCCGCGCCTGTGACATGTGCCGCAAGAAGAAGATCAAGTGCGACGGCAAGATGCCTTCGTGCACCCACTGCGTCAACTACAAGACGAAGTGCATCTTCACCCAAGTGGAAAAGAAGCGCAGTCCGCCGAAAGGGTAAGTGGATCCGGCGGGAGAGGGTGGAATATACGCTGTTGTGCATCTCGACGATTTCGCTAACTTGACCTCTTTTCTCTTTCTTTTTTGTTTCTCTCTCTCCCCTCCAGCGCCAAATATATTGAAGGTCTCGAGAACCGCCTCGTCCGCATGGAGAGCCTGCTGCGCCTCTCCGGCCTGCTCGACGAAGACGACGGCGCCACCGATCTCGGCACCCTCGAGAAACGCCTGTCTGAGAAGCTCCGCGAGTCGCGCCGCGACTCACAGGCCGCCTCCAATCCGTCATCGCCGTCCCAGACCACATCCGGCAACGAGTCCACGCCGCGCAGCTCCATCACCTCGCCAGAACCCGGAAAAGAACGCGACTCTAGCGGGAATGCCAACGACAACAACGGTGGCAGCGGTGAGAGGAGCGGCGAGAAAGGGGGCGAGAAGTCCGGCGAGAAGTCCGGCGAGAAGTCCGGCGAGAAAAGCGGTGGCGGCAACCACAGCCACAGCAACAACAACAGCAGCAACAACGGCTTGAGCAGCAGCAGCAGCAGCAGCAGCAACAACACCGGTAACGGCAACAAGAAGTCGTCTTCTAGCGCGTCCGACAAAAAGAACGGCGGCCGCAAAGAAGAAGAAGAAGTCGAAGCCCTGTCCGAGATGATGTGCTCGCTCGTCACTAACCACGAGGGCGAGACACGCTACATCGGCTCCTCCTCCGGCTTCTCCATCTTCTCGCCCAAGGGCATGCAGTGGATCAACGAGCGCACCGGCGACAACTCCTTCCAGCAGATGATCTCCAATGTCACTATGGACGACAACAAGTGGACCAACTGGAAGCCCGAGATCTTTTCCGACCTCTTCCGACGCCCCGTCTTCCGGCCCCTGCCCGCCAAGCCCGAGGCGCTCTCGCTCCTCAAGGACTTTTTTGAAAACTTCAACTGCATGTTCCCGCTCTTCCACCAGCCCACCTTTATGCACCTGGTCGAGCGCCAGTACTCCAAAGATCCCTACCAAGGCTCAGGCTGGTGGGCGTCGCTGAATGTGGCCTTGGCCATTGCCCACCGCCTGCGCGTCATGAGCAACCTCGTGCCCCAGGAGGAGGACGACAAGGCCTGGGCCTATCTGAAGAACGCCATGGCCGTCTTCTCCGAGCTGGCCATGCGCAACACCGACCTGCTCAGCGTGCAGGCGCTGCTGGGCATGGCCCTTTTCATGCAGGGCACCCCGAACCCCCAGCCCACCTTCTTGCTCATTGCCGCCGCCATCCGCCTGTCGCACAGCATTGGCCTGCACAAGAAGGGCACCGGCTTCAACCTCAACCCCATTGAGATTGAGCAGCGCAAGCGCGTCTTCTGGATCGGCTACATGCTCGACAAGGACCTCTGCCTGCGCTCGGGCCGCCCGCCCGCCCAGGACGACGACGACATGAACGTCGAACTGCCCGACGCCGATCCGGCCGACAACATTGGCAACATCCCCCTGGGCGACGGCAAGGGCAAGATGAACCTGTTCCGTGTCATGTGCGAGTTTGCCCTGATCGAGAGCAAGGTCTACCGGCGCCTGTATTCGACCAAGGCCACCAAGCAGACCGTCGGCGAGCTGCTCAACACCATTGGCGAGCTCGACCAGGAGCTGGAGGACTGGAAGGATAGCATCCCCATTGACTTCCGCCCGGAGCACGAGATTAAAGCGTCGCACACGCCCCTGATACTCCACATTGTCATGCTGCATTTCACCTATTACAACTGCCTCACCACCATCCACCGCATGTGCGTCCACCACGGCTACTGGACGAGCCGTCTGTCCAACTACGCCATCCAGGGCCTCAACGCCAAGCCCCTCAACCCGCGCGTCTATTCGTCGGCCGCCCTCTGCGTGTCCTCGGCACGCGCCTCCATTTCGTTGTTGAAGTACATTCCGCAGGGCGACTTTTCGTGTGTCTGGCTGATTCTGTACTTTTCCGTGTCCGCGCTCGTCACGCTCTTTGGCAATGCCCTCCAGAATCCCGTCGATCCGCGCGCGCGGTCCGACACGCGTCTCATGAGTCTTGTCGTCACCTTCTTGTCCATGCTCGGCCAGGAGGCCGAGAGCGGCGGCGTGCACCGCATGCTGGGGGTGTGCAGCGAGTTTGAGCGCATCGCCAAGGTCGTGATCGACAAGGCCGAGAAGGAGCAGTCCAACCGCCGCAAGCGCAAGAACTTGGATGCCCACGAGGCCGCGCCCGCCAAGTCGGCACCAGGTGCGTCATCGTCATCGTCGGCGGCGTCGTCGGCGATGGCAGCATCGGCCACCAACGGTGGCAACGCATCTTCGTCTGGATCCGGCAAGGCCGGCAACAAGCACGGTCAGGTGTCCTCCTCGTCCTCGTCTCGCCCGCCATCGCGGTCCCAGTCATTGGCGCCGACGACCTCCCAAACGCCCCGGCCCACGTCGTCGGGCAGCACAGCCACAACAGCCTACCAGAATACGCCGAGCGCCACGCCTGCCGAAGCCGCCGCCGCCGCGCACACCGCCGCCGAGATTGTCAACAGCCATAAGAACGCTGGCTCCAAGCGACACAACCTACACCACTTGAACAATGCCTCTGTGGCTGCCAGCATGTACACCAACAGCTCCATGAACCCCAACTTCAACCACAATGCCAACCCTAACGGGAACCCTAACGGGAACCCTAACGGCAACCTGAATGGTAACCCGAACGGCCACGGCCACGGCAACACGCCCTCGCCCGGCATGCCCCCCAACACTTGGTCGGGCGACTTTGCCACCATGGCCGCCACATCCGCGCCCTGCATGGACGGTTCCACCATTACCGACATGAACGGCGGCATCATGGCCGAAATCGACTTTATGTCCTTTTCGGATCTTACGGGCTTTGGGTCCATTCCGTCAGACATGCCCCCGCCGCCACCGCATGATCTGGGTGACCTGCAGTCCCCGCCCATGATCGCAGATGGCATGGCCGGCAACCAATTCCTGCCACAGGATCTGTTTAGCATCCCGATGACGCTGGACTGGAGCTTTTCTGGCATGGGCGACGGCATGTACGCCACCATGGAGAACGGCGGCTTGGACACGGTGCCATCATAAAATATAGTTCCATGTCATCTCCCTACTTTTTTGTATTTTCTTGTTTACTTTTTTTTTCTCTTTTTTCTTATGATTTGCAATTTATGACACGGCGTGGATTTGGATATCTACATTTGATTTGAACACCTCCTATATATTTCTGTTTGGTATATTTTTCTGGATGTTTGTTCTCCCCCTTTCACCCCCATTTTGGCTCGTCTTGGCTCACCTCATCCTGTTAAGTGCTTTGGAAAGGCGTTGCACTTTGCTGTTGGGTTATTCTCATTTACCACAATCTACTCTCTTGCTTCTATCTTTTTTTATTTATGTTTTCTTTATATACAATGTTTGCAATACACCTCTTTGCCGCGTCTTTTTGTGTTTTGGTTTTCTTTTTGGTCTCCAACTTTTGGGTTTTAGTTGTATCAAATTTAGGAAGCCAAAAGCAGTATTAATACCAGTACCTTTATTTCATTCTCATTCTATTGCGATGTAGGTCATGAGTGAACTTATTTCCAAATGGGCATTTGGACAAATCCAAGTCGTCCTCAATATATATGGTGTCTCCTCCATATTGACGGATGGAAATTATATAAACAAGACATATGCCACACCTTCCAACTGTCACCCTCCTTTTACTCCTTCTTTCTCTCTTTCTCGAGGTGCTCACCACCCGAGCCTTGTCTCGCAGATTGTACGCAACAAAAACCAAACGAAATCCAATTTGGAAGTCTCCAAAGATATCAAAAAGGCTCATTTTTGTCGCGCATTATTTTCGGCCCCTGCACAATGAAACCACCGTCTCGAGCCCGATGCAAGTGCATCTCAGCCAACGGGCAAGCGGAAATGATGCTGTCTTGCTGTGGTTTGCCGTAGGATTCGAAAATAAAGTCCCGCCTCCCGGAGGGCAACACAAATTCGCTTTCCGTCTCAGGAAAGCATACTTGTTTTGCCAGAATATAGGGAGGCTTTACCATCGCGCACGAAATAAGAGGCCGAAGCTGTACCAAGGATTCGTACACCGTAGGCCGCTGCAGCAGTCGAACGCCGCCTCCGCTAGAGAGGACGACTATGCCCAGCTTTGCAGAAACGGCCTTGTCGTGGCTGGAGCAGGTACCATATATTCCTTCATGCGACGTGGGTTTGGCATGTTGCCGCCTGTTCCAAGGCAGCTTGCAAGTAAAGGAAGCGTGGATTGGTCGAGATGATCGCTTTGGTAGCTATTCGGCGGAGATCGCGACCGCCATGTCCAAACATCCCAAATATATAAAAGAACATGACGCAAAAATCACAAAAAGGTATCAAAGAAGGCGAAAATTAAGTCGTAAAAGGTACTGGCCGAAGGCTATGCCGGGTTGAAGTAGTCTGGAGTGAAGCTCCAGTCAAAGTCGTCCATGAAAGCATCCCAGTCGATGAGCTGTGCATTCTCGGGCTGGATCGTGGAGAGGTCGATGGACGCAGCTATGATTGTTAGTTGATCCGTATTGCATGTTCCTGCTGGTGCAAAGACCGCGTAGCGTAATAAACGTACCTGGAATTCCAGTTGCCTGTCTCTTCCCATTGACATTGGTGGCCGAGGACCGGGACGCTTCAATGTCTCTCTTCCAGCGCCGAATGTAGTCAAATGCAAAGCTCGTTCCAAGGCGGCTCGAAAACTGCGAAACATCCTTCATGGGGATTTCCATGGGAGCTTTTGTGTGATGGACCGACCAGTAGGACTCGATCATCTTGGACGCCCGGGATGGGAGATCGCCGTCGTGCACAGAACACGTCTTGATTGCAACAATGGCGTCGTGCATGAGAGCATCCTTGGCGTGGACGGGCATGTCCTGAATGTACGGTGACAACAGGACGTTGAGGGTGATGCACGCTGACGCGAGGAGCGTTCTGCAAACAAAGTGCGGCGCGTAGTAGAGGAATCCGACTTCGTCTTGCAGCTTCAGTGCCTGGCGCAAGACGAGTTGGGACGTGCTGTAGGCCTTCAAGACATTGCGCTTGAAAATCTCGGAGCTGAAGCCCGCGACCGGCATGAAATAAAACGCTTGCACATCTTGCAAGGTGGATAGAAGCGTGAAGTAGTCAACCTCTACATATATTGTTAGACGACCACAAGTTATACCGTCGGGAGGAAAGGGGGACAAAGCGTACCGGAAATTCCTGGGAAGAGAAGTCTCTGAACTTTGTCAAACTCTTCTTCAAACATGTCCACGATGTGGTGAGAGATGCCTCGATTCTCCTCTAGACTCGCGCACGTTGTCTTGCTCACGCGATTCGAAAATCGTGCGCACTCCAAAAGGATGATGAAGTTGATTGGGACAGGAACGGGCGAGGACCGGTCGAGTATATTTTCGATTGTCTTGTTGAAGAACTGCCCCGTAGATGGAGACCCGGTGTACGAGGAGACCCTGTAAGGCAATAGTTAGTAAAATCCCCGAGGCCGATGTAATTATAAGTAGTGGCAGCCGTCAACGAACCTCTGCGAGATGATGTTAAATCCCGCCCAGGTGAACGTTGCCTCCTCGTCTGTGTTGCGAATCTGAAAGTTGGGGTTCGCAAGTTCCGGGTGCTCGCCGCGTCCAGTGTGCAGACCAATCATGAAGCAAGAGCTCATGGCGATGGAAGAGAAGATGGTGGACGGATCGCGCAAGAAACGGATCGTCGTGAAAGGCCAGGCGCACAGCAGAAGCAGCGCGTTGATCATGCCCAGCGGCAGGGGCGGGTTGCCCATGGCACCCCACACTTCGGACGGCAGCGATTCGGTCAGGAATGGTAAGACACTGTCATCTTTCGCGAAGCGCCGAGCGGATATGACCATGATCGTCCAGAAGAGTATCGGTGCCGATTCATAAATCTTGTCGGGGTCGCGGGTCCGGATGATTGGGAAATGCGGATGGAAGTATTCAAAGTACCTAAAGTACGTTAGATTTTGGATAAAGAAATGTCTCTAGCATAATAGACAGAAATTGGATCGGACGTACTTGTCAAAGTAATGGCTGATATCTTCTCCGGAGAAGGCGCGTGACTTGAGAGCCCGGGGCTCGGCGGTCCTGCCACCGAGAGAAGAGAGAACGGTCTTGGGCGTCGGCGTTGTTGTCACGGACGGGGTCAGGACCGGAGGAAGCATGACCGGCGCATCAAAGGGACGCATCGGAGGCAGAGTGTGGGAGAGTAGGCCATCTCTCGAGTTGATTGGTGGCAGCGTACGGGTGAAAACAGGTGATGGCACGTTGGACTTGCCAACGGCTTCCTTGATGCTTCGCACCTCCTGCTGGAGCTCTTCCAGTTTACTGAGATGCGACGTTAGTCGAATATTCCCTCTGGGCTTCCCGTCCTGGCTTGTGGACACAAGACGGGAATCGTCCGTGACGTGGGCCTCTAAAGGCAAGCCTATTTTGTATTTCCGAGGTCGCAAAGTGAAGGCCGACGACGTTGTGGATGCAGAAGGCAGGTAAAAATACGAAACAAAAACATGGTTTGCTCACCTTCTGCGACTGACTCTCTTGTGACTCTTGTCGACAACACACTGGAGCTGCAGCTTGGAGCATCGCATGCATGGCAAGTTGGGATCCAGGTTGGCGTTGCATTTCACCTCTGTGTAGTTTGTTAGTCGACATACCAAAGAAAAAAAATACAAAAACGCCCACACGAAGCAATCCAAGGGCATGTGAAGTCAAGGCCGAGGAAAGGCCAAAAAGGCCAGAATGGACGAAAGAGTTATGCAGACGAGAATAAGACGAGTGTTGGGATAATGCAAGTGGCGGCCGAGACGGAAGCCGATGCCATGGAGCGAGTCAGGCCCAGTCCGCGATAGGGCGCCGGCGGTCTGCCGAGACAGGGGCTGAAAGCGAATCGGTGCCGATGTTTAAGTGCAATGGCGGACGTCTCGCGTGAAGGAGACGAACGCCTCTTGCGGGGATAATGGGGGCTTTTTGGAGGCCAAGAAGGGGACGTCATACTACTGTCTCTGCAATTAACGCAAGCCTATTTCAACGACAAAATAGAGTTGTCAGCCTTTTAAAAATATTCTCGGAACGTTCCCCGCTGCGGCGCGGATGCAGACCATTCGTGCAAAGTGAAGAGGCCTGGCCCCGTTCGTATATTAAAGGAGCCGCACAGAGCATTGCATTAGGGATTAGGGCAGATGGGGCCAGCCACCACAGAATGCAAGCAGCACAACACACACGAGGGAGCCGAGCCGGGGGGCCAGGACCGGGGAATCAAACGAACCGTATTACGCTTGATGCGCGGAGTAGACTGTGCGGCCAACGTGGTCGGCGACCCGTCGGGAAGATCGGCCATGCGGCAAAATGCTGGAAGGATGTGCTACGCCTCGGCGAAAGGCGAAGCAAAGTCGGCCGGTCAAGCGGTAAATGCAACGAATAGGAAGCCAGGCGGTGGTGAGTGCCCTCAATGGTGTTTTGATATGGCTCGGAGCGGCGCTTATGCGAAACAAAGGCCGAAGTCTGGAACTGTTTGCTGAGAGGTGCGGAGAGGCGCGATTCAGGACGAGTCCTGGGTTTTATTCTGGGGATTTTATTCTGGGGATTTTGGTTGCCTCGAAAAGTGGTATGGCAAATGGATGGGAAGGAACGACGCAGCGGCATGTGCCCACCGAGGTCGCTGGGAGGTTCAGTGCGCCTGCTCTTTCCGGTGTCGCAAAAGCGCTGCCGCCATGTAAATGGCAAGAGACAAGAGACGAGTGCGGATTGACGAGGCAGCTGTCGCTGTAAAAGGAAACAGTGCTAGCAAGAGAGCAGTCGACTTGGGAACGTGGAAGGAAGAGACAATGGACAGGGAAGGAGGAAAATGCGAGAGAAATAACGGCAAGCACGAACCAGAAAGAAAGAGAAGGTGGGAAAGAGCGATCAAAGAGGCGCGCGACGACAGAAAATCCGCCCCTAGTAAGTAGTATTGCGATTGTGTGTTCACCAGCAGCGCCGGTTGCTGCATCCGCACCTGCCTCCGCCGTCGCAAACGATCTCCAGCGCATGGACAACTGCCTAAACAAGAAGGCCCCGAGCAAGACACCGGCGCGCGGCTTGCTCCTGCCCAACGACGTACGATCTCCGCAACTGGCCCAGGCTCCGTTGCTGCGTGATTCGTGCTAGATGCGCCGTGCGACCAAACCTCTGTTCCTACGCTGATTTAAGCATTTTGGAGCAGCTAGACGCCTTGTCAAAATGACGCAGGATGGAGAAAGTATTGCATTAAAGAACAAATTCTCCGGCAGAATTAAGTATGACGGGTAAAGACCCACAGAAAACACCCGGACACAATAGGCCATGAAAGGGGAAGCAACGAGTCGCAACTTCCTCGTGAAGTCCTGTCGTCTCGTTTTGTGTCTTTTCTGAACAGGAGCGACCATCCAGCAGGCAAGAGCCAATCATCAAGACCACAAATGTCGCGAATCGCCCCGTCACCTGACAGCATTCCCGTCTGGGATCGGCACTTGGTCGAAGCAGGCAAGAACTGGTCGTTCACCGTCCCCCACAGCGGCTGAGCGGTAAATTCGGGCATGCAAGTGCGCTGTGAACCAGTCCAAAGCACTGCAACGTTGGCCATCGAACATTCTCAAAAATCGACCCGTCGCTTTGCCCAGGGCATCGATTTCCAACATCACAGAGTGCCCGTTGCTTATACTGTGTTCTTTCTTGCTTCCACGCTCTTTATTTGCCATAATTTTGGCTGGCGGTACTCCTTGCGCGCACGATGTGACAGCTCGACCTTGTCCTTTCTGAATATCGGCACTCCATGCTCTGTCAGTCTCGATGCCTCGACGTTTCGATGTGTCGATGTTACCCTCCTTTGATCCCGCTCTATGCGGGACGAGGACCACGGGCGCCGTGGTTGCAAGACTCGTGATTGGGTGGCGGCCGTATTCATGCCCTCCGACTGCGGCACTTGCAGCCAGTCTTTTCTGATGTTGCATGATGCAAACGGAGAGAAAAGACGCAGTGGTTGGGCTAGAAGAGGCATTCGAAAGAAGAACAGCACTTGCAAGTCGAAGTAACGCTCGTTCCGTTTTAGCCGGTCATCTACGGGCGACCACCTTTGTTTTGTTGGTGTCGTTTGTTTCCTGTACCGTGGACAGCGCGCAGGTTCAGCTTTGCTGAGCAATGCTTGAACATATGTTTTTCGCCTGGCTTGTGGTTTCTATAAATGCACAACGTCAATCGATGTCCCGGCACTACAGACGTTCGAAAGATGTATATACGTATATGCTAGCTCCCCGGATCATGGCCTGTGCCTTGTCTGCTAGTCTGCCCATCTCTGCACCGTCTGCCGGCATTTGTGTCCACGGCCTGGGCGTTTGGAGACTTTGGCTTTCGCTTCTAAAGTGCTCGCGCCGTATCGAGTGCAGCTGCCACACACCTCCCTTTTACAAAGTAGGCAGTGACATGTACTCGCGGGCCGCGGCACGCCTCCCCCACGGCGCAAGCGGCCTGCCTTTCCTGGTTTTGGGGGATACGCGGCGTGTCAGACGCCTTCGGCAGTTCTTGGCAAGGCCATTGGAAGCGCCAGTGTATGCCGTGTGATGACAAAATGAAGGATACGGCGTTGCAACGGCAAGAGGAGGAGAAGCCGAACAGGCAGCTGTGATTTGCTGTAAGAGATAATAGATGGGGTATGAGAAGTCACGAGAAATGAAACCGACGAAATGACAATGTACAGACGGCTGGAGAATAAGAGACAACGACTAAAAAGCATGAGAAACCAAGCATCCCATCCAGTGATAACGCCCATGGCCCTTGACACGACGGTTGTGTTCACGATTCATCGAACATATTTGTTCATGAAACGCTTGTGAAAGTCGGAGCGGAGGAGATCCTGTTTAGAAATCGTTGTGTTAGCGGCACACTTGCGCGAGTGCAGAAAAGAAAGAGAAGCTCCTCCAGCTGGACACGCACATTGATAAACTCCTTTTGCTTGCCCTTGTCGTCGGTGCCGCGGGCCTGGTTCTTGAACACGACGTCGTCGTCCCAGCGCCGCTTGATTGTGAAATCCGGCTTGTTCAGCAGCGGATTGCCCCGAGCAATGTCGCGCTCACGCTCTTCGGCCTCGGCCGCCTCTCTCTCGCGTTCCTGGAGATTGTTAGCAAGGGATGCATCACCAAGACAGCATTGCTCAGAGCCGCCCATCGTACCTCTCGTTCCCGCTTTTCGGCCCGCTCGCGCTTGATCTTTTCCAGCTCGCGCTGCAGCGCCGCCGTCTCGTCTTCGTCGTCGCTCTCCTCGTCACTGTCGTCGTCGTCGTCGTCGTCCTCCTCCTCCTCCTCCTCATCATCGTCGCCATCGTCATCCTTGTTGTCGCCATCCTTGTCCGAGTCGTCCGAGTCTGAATCGTCATCGGCGTCAATGTCGCGTGTCTCTTCGAGGATTCGCCTTCGCTTCGCCTCGGCTTCGTCTGTGCCTTCGGTAATCAGTCGCCGCTTCGCAGCAATGGATGCCGCATCGTCGTCGGACGCCGACGGAGCAGGGCCGCCGCGGAGCTTGGCATAGTGGGCAGCCTCGGCTGCGAGCAGCTCGGCCTGCAGGTCGCGCACCTGGGAGTCGGCGGAGCCCCCCTGGCCAGCTTTGCTGTTGCAAGAGAAGTTGGGTTAGCAGCTGGAGGCACCGTCGACAGAGCCAAAGGACCATGTGAAGGAACATACCGGTACTTGAGCTGCGTGTGCGCTGGCAGCAGACGCTGGTGGTAGGCAGGGCCTTTGGGGGCCTCCTTGCCGCGAGCCTAAACAGAGTTAGCGAGATGTGTTGGTTGTTTGCTGTATATATGGAGGTCGGCGTACCGGGTCAAATGTCGGTCTGTGGGCGGTCGTCATCGTGGCAGTCGTCGGGTATGCAATGGATGGTGCTCCTGTGCAGAGAAAGACGCAAAATTAACGTAGGTTGGTTGAGTTGATGTGAAGCGCACGGCTCGCAATAGCACGTCGCGGCTGGCCGTTGTGCTGTAAATCTTCACCGCCTTTGGCAGAAAAAGTAATTCTGCCCGTCGCCGCCTGTATTTCAGGCCGGTTGTCAGTGCACTCTCACTGTTTGTTAGCTTATCAACTACGACGGAACCAACGACAGCGAAATTTTGCAGCACGTTTCCAGTCGACAACGAGCACCCCATACTAGCAAATCCCTTTCCACCTCGCGCAACAAGCCAATTGCGATGCCGCACGATCTCGAGCCGTCTCTCAATGAGAAGGCATTTGTCGGCCAGGCGCTACAGGACGGCCTGCGCCTCGACGGCCGCGGTTTCGAGGACTACCGCCCCATCAGCTTGAGTCTCGGCGAAGAATACGGCGTCGCCGACGTGCGGCTGGGCAACACAAGGTGGGTGCCGTTGGAAGGGGTGGGAGGGAAGGGGGACACAGAACGTGCACCTACTAAAGTCTTTGACTCTCCAGAATCTTTGCGAAAGCTACCGCCGAAGTGACCGTCCCGTACTCTGACCGGCCGTTTGACGGCATCTTCAACATTGTCACCGAACTCAGCCCCATGGCCTCGCCCGCGTTTGAGGCTGGTCGGCCCAGCGAGACCGAGGTGCTGCTGTCCCGGGTCCTCGAGAAGACGCTGCGGCGGTCCGGCGCCCTGGACACCGAGTCGCTGTGCCTGTCCGCCGGGCAAAAGTGCTGGTCCGTGCGTGTGGACGTGCACGTGCTGTCGCACGACGGCAACCTGGTGGATGCGTCGTGCCTGGCAGTCGTGGCGGCGCTGCGGCACTTCCGCAAGCCCGAGACGAGCATGGAAAGCGGCGTGCTGACGGTGTACACACCGGCAGAGCGCGAGCCGGTGCCCCTGAGCTGGCTGCACTCGCCGTTCTGTGTGACGTTTAGCTACTTTGGAGAGGAGGCCGAGGTGGCGCTGCTAGACGGCACGCTCCTCGAAGAGCAGACGCGGGTGGGCAGCTGCACGATCAGCCTGAACCGGCACGGCGAGATCTGCCAGATTGCCAAGCTGGGGGGCACACCTGTGGAGGCGGTGTCGCTGCTCAAGTTGACACAGGTGGCGCTGCAAAAGGCGAGGGAGTTCTCCACGATTGTGGACAAGGCACTGGCGGGCGATGCCAAGCGGCGAGACAAGGGCGGGCTGATAGCCGAGCTGTCGGCCGAGAACGAGCGGTAATGGTGTTGTGACCTGGCGGACGCGAGCAGAGGCGGCATGAGACTTGTCTTGGAGAGGCAAGGCACCATATACAACCACGACGTGATGATACCCTGTACAATATAGCACTTGGCGCAAAGGCATAGAATACAACGGAGTCCAAGGACAAAGATCCAAAAGAATAGAACCAAGCATTCTAGTCATAATCGACGTAATGCTCCAGTATGTGAAGCGGGATATAATACGGGGGAAAAGTCTTATGTACAGAGAGAATAGAGAGAATAGCAAAGGCGCTGGTACAGAGGAAAGACGGCTGGGCAGAGAGGAACACAGGGGCGGGACGGAGGAAAAGGGCAAACGTGATACAAGCGTCTACCGCATCACGGGCGGCCTGGATTCTTTGTTCCACTTGACGCGCGACCGCAGCCACTCGACGGCTTCCCGCACGCCGGTGCCGGTCAGGGCCGACACGGGCAGCACGCGCGAGTCGCGGATGCTCGACGCCTTTTCGCCCTCAAAGACCTTCTTCACCAGCCCCTCCTTGATGCGCACAACCTCCACGCAGTCTTCGCGGTCTTGCTTGTTGGCGAGAATGAGCAGGGGCACGCCCTCGGTGTCCGAATGCTGCAGCACGTCTTCGAGCACGGCACGGCACTCGTCGAGGCGCGTAGCCTCGCCGAGAGGGACGGTCGCGGCCGTCGCCGCCAACGCCGCCGACGACGACGACGACGACGACGCGGAGGCGGAGGCGGAGGCGGGTACCGTCGACGAGGAGGGCGATGCTGCTCCTGCTGCTGCGCCCGTCGATGCGGTGGACACCGCTACGCCGTCGTCCAGCAGGCCGTCGCCAATGTCGGTGCTATCGATGATAAAGACAATGGCGTGGCAGCTCTGGTAGTAGCTCTGCCACAGCTTGCGCAGGCTGAGCTGGCCGCCGACGTCCCAGAGCTTCATGTACATGTCCGGCAGCGTAATGGTCGACACATTCTGGCCGACAGTGGGCACGGTCTGCAGCTTGGGCGGCGCGGCCGGCTGGTCGGGCGAGAAGAGGGCCTTGACCTGCTCGTGGAAGGTGGTCTTGCCGGCATTGTCCAAGCCGAGGAGAATGACCGAGTACTCTGCCTGCGTGAGCGGGGGAAGACTGAAATCAGTAGACTTCTACTCCGATCATCGCTGAAGATACTCACCTTCTTTGCTCGTGGCCAGCATATAGAGGCCCTTGGCCAGGTGGTACATGTCGCACAGGCGGCCCCTGCAGATGCGAAGGGACCAAGGAATGCAGAGAGACGTTTAAGAAAACCAGATAGGGGGCGGTTAAAAGTGTACCGGGTGGCCAGAAGGGCGTCGGTGGGTCGGTGAGTCGGTGTGCCGGTGTGAACGTGTGAACGTGTGCGCAACCAGTGTTTCTGTGTGTTTCTGGCTTTGTGTCGTTGTTGGCAGGTGGAGCTCCGTCCCTGCAAAAGGAGGAGCAACAGCCAGTGCTGTTTGATTGGCGGTTTGCTCAGTGGCATCGAAAGGCTGACAGTGATACGGGGCAGCACCTTCCCAAACGAGCGGCTTCTGGTTTAGCAGACCTGAGCCAGGCCCTGGAAGCTTAGCTGGGCCTGGCCTCGTTCCAGCGCTCTTTCCCCAAGGGCCGTGCTGGGACTGGGCATAGTTCGTCAGCCGCATGGCGCCTCTTGCCGTTTTGAGCATCCATCGTCGTAACTGTCACTCATTGATACGGATAGAGAAAGAAAGCTGTAAACCAATCGCACAAAGGCCACGAGATTTGACATTTTTAAGTTGGTCTGTTACTGGGCAAAGGCAGCACGAGGAAGAGTAACAGTGGCAACAACCGTACGCATTCGGATACAGAGAGAGTGTCCACGCTTCAACACTGACTCCATACTTGTATTCTGTCTGCGCCAAAATGAATCCCATCTATAGAGGAGGGCGAAAAGACGACACAACTACAACATAAGACTCGCATTGTCACAGATACTGCGTATATGCAAAGGAACGATCCCAGGCACGCTGCCCTCGACAAAACGTCGCGTCCATGTGGTCGGCTTCTGTGGCGCCAAGATATGCGCTCATGCCAGGTCGAACGGGGAAGCCGGTATTTGTGTCTTTGTCGGTACTTTAGTAAAAAGGCCGTTCCTGCCCTGTTGGCATCCATTTGCCTCAAGCTCAAACTCTTAGCGTTGGAATTCATCTAAAAGAACTGTGAAAGAAACTGTAAACTCACCCAAGTTCCTCTCGTCCAGCCCTTGTTCTCAGTCAGACACTGCAAATGGAAGCATCTGCTTAGCAACGACTCTCCGATGCCCATCTCAAGGGTCCAACCGTTATCCCCTCTCTCCATCCGCCTGCGGCAATCATCAAGGGCAGGCCGTTGAGCTGTTAGTCTCATACTCAGGGCATTGGTCTCAACAAGAAGTGTGTGTTCTTCCACTCGCGTCTTATCGTATCCATACTTCGTATCAATGGTCCATCCACCAGCTGTGGCGAGCGCTTGATGGTGGTGGGGAGTAGAGAGGATGGTACATACATACATACATACGCATCTCAGAGGCGTCCTGCGCACACTGTGCCACCCACTCTGCCGACACTGTCTTGTCTCGGGGACACTCGACTTCGTCTGAATCTCTCTGAAGCGCCTGTCGACCGTTCTGCCGGCGTCACACCCGATCCACTCGGCTGCACAGAAGTACAAAGAAACCGAGCACCACCTGGTGTTTTGGTGTCCAGTCTCACCTATGAAGCGAGCGACACAGTGTACACACTACGAATATGGGGCAGCTAGATTCCAGATACCTTTAGGCGCATGGCGCGAGCCACGCAAGTTGCCAGCGCCGGCGTAGCCGCTACACAGTACGAAGCGAGGCCGTCGGTGAGCGCCCTTTGGCATGCTATGGCGTGTTTTGGTGCGCCTTGGTGCCTTTTGGTGGCTCTGGCTCGTCGATGGCCGCCTCCTTCTCTCCATTTTGCCTCTTTCCGGTCGTGGAGTCCCCACGTCTTTTCCCAATGGAGAAGGACCTAGGGCGTAATTCGTAGCTCGTTTCTCGAATGCGTGGGCTCTGGCCGGCGGTCCGTCCGAACAAGCGTGGGCGAAACTGGACCAAGATCGAGGAAAGAGCGTTGGGACAGAGGCCGAAGGAAAGTGCAAACCGTAAAACGATAGGAACTAAGACGGCGGGCAAGAGCAAGGGTGCAATTGTAGCACGCTCTTTCCTTTTTCTTCAAAACGATTCCTCCTTTTCCATCACATTTATATCCCAGACCTGCCCCATTTCCTGTCGTGCCGCAGATCGATCCAGATCTTGATTCTCTTCCGTCCCGAGCCTCCGAAGTCACATCAAGTCCTTGCAAGGTCTCACATATTGTCTTCGAGAGTCCGGACAGCACATAGGGGACCCGCGGCTGGTGTTATACAAGCGGCTTCCTTTTCTTTCGATGATCGTTCTTTTTCCTTTCTTCTTTTGGAAATACCACTTTTCTTTGTTGATTACAATTGCCTTTGTTTTGCCGTCATCATACGCAGTCGACATCGAACAATAAGCGACCATCGGCGATCAGCTCGGCCATATTTCTTCGTCTTTTCCTCCACACGTCGTTCAAATTCCGTTTTCCTTTCCTCTCCTCTCCTCTCCTCTCCTCTCCTCTCCTCTCCTCTTCTCTTTCACCATGACTTTCAGAGAGCGCTGGAGCCGCGTGGTCCGCAAGTCTGGATCAACCTCCACTATGGCCAGCAACGACACCAGTGTTTCCTCGTCTGGCAGGAGCTTTTTGGGCCGGACGTTTGGCATGCGCAGCAGCAAGACACCCTCCAGCACCGCCAACACGTCCCTTTCTAGCTCCAGCGGACGGGGCCTCGGAAGCAGAGGCAGCTCCTCCACCAAGGGCGTCAGGACCCTGCCCGGCGCTGTTGGTGCCGCTGCTTCTTCTTCGTCTTCTACTTCGTCCTCCTCCGGTAACAGAGACATCCAGCATAGCATCGGCAGCACGATTGACGCGGCTCTTGGCGGCCGGAGCAAAAAGTGCAACAAAATGCCGACGCTGGAGGACCACCACGACGAATCGTACGTGACCGACAACGAGACTGATTTCTACGACGGCGGCGACCTGCACTACAGCAACATGACCGAGGCGCAGCGGCACCAAGCCCGCCTCAACGCCTACCGCATCAAGTTTGGTGCGTCCCGGCCGTGGCGCGGCAGTTTCGACGAGATCAGCCCGTGCAACTCGCGCCGGGCCAGCCTGGACATGGGCCCTTGAGCGTTGCGTGGTTTGGGGACGTGAAGGCTGTGGAGGGTTCGGACAGACACGGCGGCGCCTTCTTGTGCACCCCATCACGTCGACCCATTCAGCCATTCAATCCTGTTGCCAAACGAAAGAAAAAAAAGCGACACGCGCCGCCGCTATTGCGGCTGATCTTCCTTGCATATCGTGTTCTTCGGCGAGCACTTTGCATTTTGCGCCGAGCCGAGAAAAGGCTTGATGACGACGTCAAGCCGGCCCGTGTTCGTTCCTCCACTATAGAACGACCGGGCACTTCAGAGCCGCGTCGAGTGGCTGCGAGCGGGGTGACCTCAGGGAATAAGGGTGACATGAAGGACCAGAATATTCCGGATATTTTAACGATGTATCTGTACCAGGTCATGACTATGTCATTCATGCCAGAAGATATTTAAGCAATCTGAGGCCTCAGACAGTTATTTAAACTGGTTCGAAAAACGGGATGATCGAACAGTACCAAAGTATTTCAAAAATTCAGAGCTCTTATAATTGGAAACAATTCCCGAAATCTTTTCTTCCGTATTTAAACGTATTCGAAAGAAAAGCCATTGCAATCTCACACGGTCCATCCACTTGGATACGTTTTGGAGAGTGGGTGACCACGCTAAATGCCTAGACGCCACATCTGAGTAAATTTCTCCGACGACCGGGGACCGTTCCCAGTCCACCAGGAACCTGCACGACCCGGTCAAACCATGTTTCTGGCACGCTGCCGGCTCCTACAAACGCACTTTGCTGCTTCTTCTCCTTATACTACTTCTTTTCTCACCAAGAACGCACGTTCTCTCGCCATGGACTACTCGGCTGTTCCCACGCCCGTCGCCTGCTATGCCGACTTTTGTCTGATTCCGGTGCGTCCCTGCAAGGTTGAGCGTCTCCGCGAAGTAGCTACTGATTTTTTGACTGCCTCTTTGACAGGTCGGCACCGGCAACGTCTCTGTGGCCGAGGACGTGGCGGAGGTCCAGCGGCTGCTGCAGGCCTCGGGCCTGACGGTGACGATGCACGCCAGCGGCACGACGGTGGAGGGCAGCTGGGACGACGTGATGCGGGTGGTTGGGCAGGCGCACACCGTGGTGCACCAGCGCGGCGTGCTGCGGGTGCAGAGCTCGATGCGCGTGGGGACGCGGACGGACAAGAAGCAGACGGCGGCCGACAAGGTGAAGCGCGTGCAGGACATCCTGAAGGAGTAGAAGGAGTAGACGGGACAGTGTGGGCATTTTATAACCAGTTTATTCTTTTTTTTTTCTTCCCGGATGCTCTCTCTTCCAAGAAGGGCAAGACTACAAGATTAAGGTAGTCCAAATCCGATACACAAACGACCAAAACAAAAGTAATACACATCAAAAGAACAGCCTTCCGTGCCTTTACTCTCACTGTTCCTGATTGCTCCCCACGATATAAACACCGGCTCTTTTCCACCCACTCCGTAAGCGCCCTGAACGTCTGTGCAAAGCACAGATGGTGTCCAGTCGAAACGCAACCCCACGCCGAAGCCTTTTAAGGATGCTTGCTCTCTCAGTCTACCCGCGGACCGTCGACTTCTTGGCCGCCTTGCGCAGCTCCTTCTCGCGCTCGCGCTCGAGGTACTTCTTCTGGGCCTTGGCGTCGAGGGCGTTCAGCTCGGCATCGCGCTTCTGCTTGCGCAGCCGCTCGCGCTCCAGAGCACGCTCCTCGGCCTTTTCCTCCTCGTCAGCCTTGCGGATCTGCTTGGAAATCTCGTCGCGGGTGTTCTTGATCTTGCGCAGGACCTCGGCGCGCAGGTGCGCGGCCTGCACCAAGACGTCGGCGGAGCGCACAAAGTACGAGTAGATGGGCAGGAGGGGCTCGTAGTCGTTGTTCGAGGGCAGGCGGTACTTGAGGAAAACGCGCTTCCGGGGGGCGGTCTCGTCCAGGCTAGAAACGTTGTTAGCAGCCACAAAAAAACAGAAAACAACTGAAAAGAACAGAAAAAAAAAGAAAGAAAAGGACATGGAACTTGACTGGAACGAGGGCAACGCACGTAGTCGGCTTTTCAATGGGCTGGTCCGAGATGATGAGGTAGTCGAGGTTCTCGCCGGCAGCCTCGGCGGCCTTGATGAGCTCCGGGGTGAGCAGGGCCTCGGTGATCTCGGCGCTCTCGCTCATGACCGTCAGCCAGGGAGGCAGCTTGGCGTGGTCCTTGGTGAAGGTGATGGACACGTCGAAGCGCTCGTCGCGCACGTTCTTCATGCGGTCCTTGTTGACAATGGCCCAGACAAAGCCGTCGTAGCCGCTCTTGTAGGTGCCGGCGCTCACGCCAGCCACCGTCAGCGCCTCTTTGCCGTCAAAGGGGTACAGGATGGCCTCGAGCGTGTCCGAGGGGGCGGGCTGGCTCTCCAGGAAAAACGACACAATGTACTCGGCAACGATGACAAACGGGTTGAAGCGCTTGATCAGCTTGAGCTTGGTGTCGACAAAGGCCACGTTCTGGCGACCCGACGCGTACGCCGCAAACTCAAACAGCGAGTTCTCCTTGACCAGCGTCGACGGGTCGGCCGACGTCGTGGCGCTGGCCAGCGCATCGAGCGCGGCACCCTGGTCCTCCTGGGCCGCCACCGACGCGGGCACGCGACCAAAGCCAACGAGCGCAAACTCGCCCGCCAGCAGCTTGGCGTGCGCCGCGGCCCAGGCGCGGGCTTTGCTGCGGTTGAGGCGCGTGCCGATAAAGTGCACGACGAGCACAATGGCCATCAGCCCAAAGATGATGCCCTCGATCTTGAAGTCGCTCAGCGAGTACCGCTCGTGCACGTTGTACCACTTTGTGTAGGGGCGGGCCGTGACCGCCGGGGCGGCCGCACCAGCACCAGCACCAGCACCAGCAGCGGCGCCGGCAGCAGCGAAAGCATCGGGAGCCGGGTCGGGGACGCCTGCGAAGTCGGCAAAGTCTGGACACGAAATGCTGTGAGCGGAATGTCGCGCGCGATACACGGGGCTCCTTTCCTGTGGGCTCTCTCCCCGGTCTGCACCTCCCTTCTCTCCCCTATTTTATTCTCGGCTGCAAAACATACCCGCATCGCCAGAGGCAATTGGCTTCTCAGCGGCCTTGCCGCCGCCAAAGAAGCTGTTGAGAACCTGCGCCATGATGAATTCGCGGTGTGGATGGCGATGGATGGGGAAAAGGTCGTCGTCGACGGGGATGGAGGAGAAAAGGAGCTCGGGGAAAGCGAGAGGCGAGCTTCCCACTGATCAAACGAAAGACGACGCCGGAGCAATACTGACTGGGGTGAAGGGCACGCTGGGGCTGGACTCGATCTGGATTGGCTCAGATTGCTTCGTGTGCGTCCGTTGTGGAATTTCGAAATTGGCGTGGTTCCCAAGGCTTCGACCAATTTCTCTGGCGATTTGTCGGCCCTTTTAGCGCATCTCTGGCCTGCTCATTGTGCACTTTACGGGGGAAGGAGCACCAAGCCGTTCGCTGGAACCACCGACCCACTGGGACCTTCCCTCTTCAGTTTGCTGTTCAGTCGGTTTCGTGTCCTGCGCCTTCCCCAATCGATTGCCCCTAAGCTCCACTAGCGTCACAAATATGATCCTGCCATTGTGGGCGCCGCCATGTGCTGGAAGTGTGTGGAGCGGTAATAAGTGGGGCATCTCGAGGCTGCTACTCACTAGGGAAGTAGCAAAGGTTGGGGTTGCCCTTGACAACTTGGAGCTGTTTGGTCGGTGCTTCTTGCCGCGAAAATGCAACTATTCACAGCTGGAACGTCCGATGAAAATACTCGCCGCGGCGGTAGTCACAATCTAGAAACTGGTAGACTCAAACTGCAAACGACGCGTGTTGGACCGGCAAGCTCTCGAGAATGGCCATTTTATGACACGAAGCCCATCGCACACCATGTCGCGCACATCGACTACACGCAGCTACGGCGGTCGGAGAACAACGGCGGGCAGTCGGACGAAGCCGATGCTATTCCAGACGGAATTGCCCATCAGCCCGACAGACAGATGGCGTCGGAAGCTGTTTCCGCCCAAGATCGACCTCGTTGGCGTTGATGACCTCACGGAGCAGCTGACGTTTGTGTCGCTCGACGATGCACTCACGCTGGACCACTTCGACGTTGCGCCGCCAGACGACATTGTCTTGGAGGCGAAAGAGGAGCGGGTGCCGGTGACGGATAATCTATCATTGCAAGAAAATACGACGCCGGCGAGGACGGAGGATACGGAAACGACAGAGAAGGAGCCTACAGAAGAGGCGGTGCCCGTCGACGAACCGCCGTCAGTCGACGTGTCGAGACACGATGACCCAACACAAACAACGGATGAAAGCCATGCACCACCTGTCAGACGCTTGGACGACCACATCGATGGCCACCACCCTGACGACTCGCTGCTCGACGACTCCTACTACCACGAAGACAGCATCGACTCTGGTCTGCGCGTGCTCACCTGGGCCGACTTGTGTCCGCCGGGCGACCGCATCGAGAAGATCGCCGAAGCCTCCTACGCAGAAGTGTACCGCGTCACCAACGAGCGCGGCACAAGCATTATCAAAACCATCCGACTGGCGTCGCCCATCAAGGCGCAGACCAAGGCCCAGGTACGGTCGGGGCTGGTCGACGAAGAGCCGCACGACGAAGAGGACCTGCGCGGCGAGCTGACCATCTCCGAGTGGCTGGCCGACATTCCCGGGTTTGTCGTGTACAAGGAACGCTACATTGTGCGGGGCCGCGCCCCCAAGGACCTGCTCGAGACGCACCAGACGTTCCACCGGCGCGCCAAGCGTCAGGACCCCGACCGCCTGCAGTTTTACCCGTCGCCGAGCCGCTACCTCGACGACACGCGGTTTCTCGTGATTGAACTGGGCGATGCGGGCCGGGCACTCGAAGACACGACGCTGGACTCGGTGTCGCAACTGTGGGATGTGTTTTTGCACGTCGCCATCGCCCTGGCACGAGCGGAAGACCAGATCAACTTTGAGCACCGCGATCTACATGAGGGAAACCTCTGTGTGCGACAAGTCTCGCCGCCGCGCTGCAAGGACGATGCGGACGACTCGCCCGTTGTCTTTGGCTTTTCAGGGCTCGACATTACGATTCTGGACTATGGCCTGTCGCGCGGCGAGGACGTGGACGACGACGAGCGGAGCGAGCCCATCGCCTGCGACCTCGAAAAGGACCTGAGCCTGTTCACGAGCACCCATGCCGAGCAGTGCAAGGTGTACCGGCAGATGCGCTCACACCTCCTTAAAGGCGACCGTGTGCACCTGCCGCCGGACTGCCACGGCACGCCCTACGATGCCGGGCCGGACGGCGCGCCCATCTCGTGGAAGGACTACCATCCCTACACGAACGTCCTGTGGCTGGCGTACCTATATGGGTACCTGGTGCGCCATTACTGCGGCGACAAGTCCGAGCTGGCCGCCTTTCGCCGGGCCACACGCGAGCTGTGGCTGCACTTGAGTCCCGACGCGCCGCCGGCTGTGCCGTCGTTCCCGAGCGCGACGGACATTGTGCGCTTCGCCGTCGAGGCCGGCTGGCTGACGGAGGCGCAATTGATTGGCGGTGGCGGCGGCGGCGTCAGCACGGAGGACAGCTTCTTCAGTCGGCGTGACCGGACGGGGTGTACGACGGTGGACATTTCCCTGCTTCTCAGTGAAGGCTTGGCGGCGGACGAGAGCACATGCGGCGGCAGCGAGAGTATTATTGAGGCTCAAATTGTTGAGCGTGACGAACTGGAGCCCAGACGGTCGCCGCGTCGACGGCGGCCGGTCGTGCGGTATGGTGATTAGACGGGTGTTTCTGTGATGCGATGTGATGTCAGGAGGTCTTGTTCTTCTGCCGGTTTGCGTTTCGAGGCGTATGTGGATCTTCATACATAGACGGCGGCCTGAACGACTGCTCATTGGGATGGCATAGTTGGTTAGCAAGCATAGCGTTTGTTTATTCTATTGACTCGTCTGTCTTTTCCCTTTATTATTGCTTCGTTTTTTGTCTTCTTCCTTTTTGTTCTCCACCCTTGTCAGTTGTGTTCGTTTGACGTCTCCCTTCCTCTCTTCCTTGATTTCCACTGTGAAAGGACTCGGCATTATCCAATGTATTTTCGAGAAACGGACCTCTTCTTGCAGAAATGCCGTCTTATCATTATGGCATGGAGCTGAAAGCACGATACGCCGCCGACGCCATAACCATGACGTGTGCCCCGCAGCGGCCCCCGCCAGAGGATGCCGAGGCAGCGAGGTTTCTGTTTCAGCGCCGAACAATAGCGCTGCCCACTAACAAGCGCTCCACGCAGCTTCTTTGCCTTCACCCAACATCCAACCCATCGCGAAACATCTCATAACTCGTGAGCATAACGCCCACTTCATTCGACCCCCGGGACGGATATCACCTTGTTTGGCATAACCGCACTATTTCGAGAAGCTCCACGACGTGCAGAGCCCCACTTTTGAAGCTCCCTTGGCAAATAAGTTATAACTCGGAAGCCTCCATTGATTTGGAACGCAGAAGGTCAAAGAACAGAACTGCCCCGGAGATTCTGCGATATTTGTTTTACTTGTCTTTTTGTGACAAGAACAACCGAGAAGCTGAGACGACTAGATGACTATACGGTGACAAATATACCAAGCTATCTGGTAGCTCTACCTTGAACATCGCCAAACTTCCTTGAAGCTCTTTCTTCTCTTTTCCTTACTTCTTTTTCGTCTTTCACTTCACTGCTTTGCTTCACCCAACACTCCTCACAGCCGTCACAATGGCGTCCAAGCTCACTCCTGACGACGCGCGCGTCACCCACCACACGGCCCCCATCCGTGGCAAGACCTACCACTACATCGTCGCCGTTCCGCCCGCCGGCCAGACCGCCAAGGGGACCATCATTCTCATCCACGGCTTTCCCGACCTCGGCTTCGGCTGGCGCAACCAGATCCCAGTTCTCGCCGAGCAGCTCGGCCTCCAGGTCATTGTGCCCGACATGCTCGGCTACGGCCAGACGGACGCTCCCCACGAGCCCGCCCCGTACGCCTACAAGAGCGTCTGTGAAGACCTTGTGGCCATCGTCGACCATGTCGGCGTTGTTGGTGGCAGTGGTGGTGGTGGTGGTGGTGGTGGCGGCCCGGCCGGCGAGGCCGACGAGAGCAAGCGCTTCTTTGTCGGCGGCCACGACTGGGGCGGTGCCGTTGCCTGGCGCATGGCCCTCTGGCACCCTGACCGTCTGCGCGGCGTCTTCAGCGTCTGCACGCCGTACTTTGCGCCCTCCAAGAACCCCTTCTTGCCGCTCGACGACATGGCCAAGCTGCTGCCCAACTTTGGCTACCAGAAGCAGTTTGCCGGCGACGAGCTCTGGCGCTTCATTGACGCCGAGCCGCAGCGCGTGCGCCAGTTCTTGCAGACCATGTACGGCGGCAAAGCGACGCTGTCGGAGGCCGACGTCGCCGCCAAGAAGAGCCCGTACCTCTTTGACACCACCAACGGCGTGCACATGGACCGCATCGCCGGTGTCGGCCCCACGCCGCTGCTCAACGAGGCCGAGATTGAGTACTATGCCAAGGAGTATGCCCGCCACGGCCTGCGCGGCCCCACCAACTGGTACCGCACACTCAAGTACAACTACGACGACGAGCGCGAGATTGTCGGCAGCGACGACGACGACGACGACGACGACGACGACGACGACGACGACGACGACGACGCGGACGCTTATAAGAGGAAATCCCGCTCCGTGATCCGCGTGCCCTCACTGATGTTGGCCGCCACCAACGACCAGGCACTGCCGCCGATTCTGAGTGAGCAGATGGGCAGGCACTTTACCAATCTGACCAAGTCCCAAGTGCCTGGTGGCCACTGGGTGCTATGGCAGTCGGCGGCAGCAGTCAACGAGCATATCAAGAACTTTTTGGCCCCGCTGCTGAACGGCACGACAAAGGCGGCTCTGTAGGGGAGCTGAAGGAGGGACGTGCGAGGCACAACTCAGACAACCGGATGATGGTGATGACGAGCAAAAATGGAATATCGCCGAGTTGAATTGGTTCAGGGTTGATTGTCATGAATGTTAATGCTATTCTCACCGGCTTTGTTATCGTGGTCGCTTTTCCTGTGGGCTGCTTTCTGTATTTATGTATGTCGCCGCCGCGTGCGATCACGTATCCATGATTCCAAACTCTCTCGAACCTTAAGATGCTCCCACTTCACCTCGTGTTGAAAGCAGTAATATGAAGGCTATGTTCAAGGCTGGCGACAACCCAGTTGTGCACCGGGCTTTCTATTGTCGATTAGACAAAGGGAACATTGTCTTTAATGCTGCATCTGTCGGCTGCATGGCCCTTGTCCCACATTTGTCCGTGAGATACAAACGTGGCAGACGACGCGCTGTGGTTCATACGGTGCAACGGCCGGTGCAGAAGGGTTCGAGTGGTCTCGGAGGACCTGAACATAGCCGTGACGTTGTTGATAAGACTAAGAGACCCCGGCTCGGGCTTAAGTCTCGTGTTGGATCGTCGTTATCCCACGTCAAGACCTCATTTCAGAGTGAACTTCTGTCCTGTGACCGACGGTGCCGACGATTTGGCCTTTTTGTTTGGCTTGCCACACATGGCGCATACTGTTTTCTGTGAGCTGGTGAAGTCGTCAATGCAAAAAAGGCCAATCAAGCTCACCATCTTCTTTGTATGAACACTGCAACAAGTTAGAAGTCGATCCACAACAAATGAGGGCGGCTCTTGGCGAGACAACTCACATTGTGGCAGTACTTGTGCCCTTGCGCAACTTTGACTTTGCACTTGTCGCAGGAACTGGAAGGGCGGTCAGACAGGCGGTTCAGATGCATTTGTTGCGCGGCAGCAGATGGAACTCCGTAAGGCTGGGCTAAACCTCACCTCGAGTATTGCGCGTATGGATTCTTGGCAGCTTTTGAAGTCAATTTGCTCTACTCCGTGTTAGTTGCAACACGAGTCCACAGCACATCACAGTACAGCACACAGGACACAGCAGCTCACCTTGCCAATGCCGTTCTGGCCCAGCGTGGCCGACTTCTTAGCGCCACTGGCCGAAGACGAGGCTGGTGACCCATAGTACATGTCATTCTTCTTCTTGACGCCGGGCGTGGCCAGCGACGTCCCAGTGACGAGCTTGGCACACTTGCTGCAGACCATGGTGGCCAGGTGGATGTGTGTGTGTAAATAAAATGGCCGTAGGATGCGTCTAGGTTGCTTGCTGCGTCGTGAATGATTGCGTTGTATCCCGACGGTGCAGATGCGATGAAAACATAAAGTTATATAGTGGGTGTTGGGGAGACTTGATGTGCGCTGTTGTTCATCTCAACTCTCAGTTGGATGCTTAAGAAGTTGAGGTTACCACTGTTGATGCACTGTACTGTGGCTGGAGTGTGGCGTAAATGCTGGCGAATTTTAGCAGGTCGCCCCTCCCCTGCTGCCAAAGTGCCAAGCAGCCAAAGTTGTCAGGGGCCCTGCCTCTTTCCTTTTTTATGGAGCACATCTGAGACACGAAGCATCCGCAACGGTCGAGCCTTCCCATGCTTCGGCTTCTGGAGTCGATTTCACCTTCCGTGTTTCTGCAATCGAATTGCCGTGGCTCGTAGAAGGCGCGCCAGGCACGCTGTAAGGAAACACGGGACATTGGACGGAGTACGTCGTAATTGCGTCGCAGTTTGTGCCGTAGCGAGGCTGTGGTGCTCCTTCTTGCGCCGTGCATCGTGCGCCGCACTTTCCTCGAGCTCACGTATTCATATGACGAAAGGGGGCTACACTGAGAGGGATTTCCTTGGCGCGCGTCTCCTCTCATCGCACCTGCTGCGGGCCAAATACGAGGCAAGAGAGACGGCCAAAAAAAGAAATAAGAAACGATGGACGAAGGAAAAGGTAAAACAGGAAGCCGCGCCCTGGCCGTCAGACTGCTCCTGCTGGTGAGCCCCTTTGCGGCACCCACTACTGCAGCCAATAGGACGCGGCGTTTGTTTCAGGGAGGCGGAAACGCGCAGTTGAATGGGGCACAATGGGGTCGCTCTTGCCTCTGCTGTAATACGATATAATTATTCTGTACAGAGGATTACAGCGCTGACCAGTCGCTACTCCACTATCGAAGTTGCCCAGCTGCAGCGACAAGGCCGCCTAAAGACAGGAAGGGGCAGGGGAGGATGATTAAAAATAATAGCATCTTTAATACCTAAAATCCCACACCACCAATTACGTCCCCAAAGTGGCTGTGCCAGTGGGCCAAAGGCCAATTGCTCTAGGCAGATCTCCAGGGGCCCAGCCCAGACTAAAGAGCAGGAGCAACCGCTGCCAAAACGAACGTGGCAGTCGCCTCGTCACCAAACACGGGAAACACAGCCAGAAACACGGGCAAAAGCCAAAAGCAGCCAACCTCAAACCAACCTCAACCAAACAGCCACATCACCACACCGACGCCCTGCATCCATCACGACGTCGAATTCGACAAGCGCGACACGCACTGCTCTCTCTCCCCATCAAACACCCATTCTTCGTGCCGTCCCTGTGCGTCCATGATCGCTCCGCTGCTGCCGTAGTCTTCCGCACGACGGGAACTTCTCCCCTTTTGAAGCAGCTGTTGACTGGCTTCGCTTTTTGCGATAACCACGTTCCTCACCCTCTTCTCGTATTCCCTTCGATCCATCTGAATGACAGGGCGACCACCACCGCCCCCGTCGGGTGGCTACGGAGGCGCGCGCAACAACGACCTGCTGCTCGACCTTGACGACCAACCCGTCTACGGCGGCGGCCAGCGCTCTGACCTCAACGACGACGACCTCATGCGCACCTACACGCTCGACCAGGACGAGACCCTCCCTACACGGCCCTCTGTGTCCTACGACGACTTTGTCGGCGCCGGCGAGACCACACACCCCTCCGTCAAAACGAGTCGCGGCGGCGCCAATGCCTTCTCGTCTGCCGCGGCCGGCGGTGGCAGCAGTGCCTCCCGAGGCGGGAACAGCAGCGGCGCCGGCGCCTACGACTCCTCCTATGCCTCTTCGTCCTCTGCGCGGCCTGGCGGCCCCTACTTTACCGAGGCCGACCGACAGTACAGCCAGACATCGGGCCTCGGCAACTACCAACGGTACGCCGACGACTTTGACGACTACCCAGAAGATGGCCAGTCCTACTACCACCAGGGCGGCCGCATCAACTCGGGCGACTCGCCGGGCCACGCCAATGCTCGCAACCGCAACAGTGTTCTCGGCCTCGGCGGCGGCCTGCTCGGCCGCGCCAAGAACATGTTCGGCCTGGGACAGGCCGGTTATTCCGAGATGGATCTGCCTCTGACGGAATCGGCCGCGGGACCCGCAGGGCAGCGTTCAGGTGGCAGCGGTGGAGGTGGAGGCGGTGGAGGTCTGGCACCGGGAGGCGATGGCCGGCGGCAGAAGAAGTCGTTCGACATGGGCAACTTCAAGTTCGGCTTCGGCCGCAACAAGGTCGACCCGGCCACGCTGGGCCCGCGCATCATCCACCTCAACAACCCGCCCTCCAACGCCGCCAACAAGTACGTCGACAACCACGTGTCGACTGCCAAGTACAACATCATCACCTTCCTGCCCAAGTTCTTGTTTGAGCAGTTCTCCAAATACGCCAACATCTTCTTCTTGTTTACTGCCGCCCTCCAGCAAATCCCCAACCTCTCGCCCACCAACCAGTACACCACCATCGGCCCCCTCATCGTCGTGCTGCTCGTGTCGGCCGGCAAGGAGTTGGTCGAAGACTACCGCCGCAAACAGGCCGATCGCGCGCTCAATATGTCCAAGGCGCGCGTATTGCGCGGGTCGTCGTTTGAGGAGACCAAGTGGATCAACGTCGCCGTCGGCGACATTGTCCGTGTCGAGTCCGAAGAGCCGTTCCCTGCGGATCTGGTGCTGCTGGCGAGTTCCGAGCCCGAGGGTCTTTGTTATATCGAAACCGCGAACCTCGACGGCGAAACAAACCTCAAGATCAAGCAGGGTCTGCCCGAGACGGCGACCCTCGTCAGCTCCAGTGACCTGAGTCGCCTCGGCGGTCGCATCCGCTCCGAGCAGCCCAACAGCAGCCTGTACACGTATGAGGCTACCCTGACGATGCAAGCCGGCGGCGGCGAGAAGGAACTGCCGCTCAACCCCGAGCAGCTGCTGCTGCGTGGCGCCACGCTGCGCAACACACCCTGGATCCACGGCGTGGTCGTCTTCACGGGCCACGAGACAAAGCTGATGCGCAACGCCACGGCCGCGCCCATTAAGCGCACCAAGGTGGAGCGTCAGCTCAACATGCTGGTCCTCTTGCTCATCGCCGTCCTTTTGGCGCTCAGCATTATTTGCACCGTCGGCGACCTGGTGTGGCGTAACAAGAGCGGCAAGTCGCTCGACTATTTGTATTTGGCCAAGACCGACTCGGCCGGCTCGGCCGTTTCGACCTTCTTCAAGGACATGGTCACGTACTGGGTGCTTTTCTCGGCGCTCGTGCCCATTTCGCTGTTCGTGACGATCGAGCTCGTCAAGTACTGGCACGCCATCCTCATCAACGACGACCTGGACATGTACTACGACAAGACGGACACGCCCGCCAACTGCCGCACGTCCAGTCTGGTCGAAGAGCTGGGCATGGTCGAGTACGTCTTCTCAGACAAGACGGGCACGCTGACGTGCAACATGATGGAGTTCCGGCAGTGCTCGATCGCCGGCATCATGTACGCCGAAGACGTGCCCGAGGACCGGCGCGCGACGGTGCAGGACGGCGTCGAGGTGGGCGTGCACGACTTCAAGCAGCTGCGCCAGAACCTCAAGACGCACGAGTCGGCCGGTGCCATTGACCAGTTTTTGAGCCTGCTGGCCACATGCCACACCGTCATTCCCGAGCAAAAGGGCGGCGAGATCAAGTACCAGGCGGCATCACCCGACGAGGGCGCCCTGGTGGATGGCGCCGTGACGCTTGGCTATCGGTTCACGGCGCGCAAGCCGCGCACGGTCATCATCGAAGCCAACGGCGTCGAGCAGCAGTACGAGCTGCTGGCCGTGTGCGAGTTCAACTCGACGCGCAAGCGCATGTCGTCCATCTACCGGTGCCCCGACGGCAAGATCCGCTGCTACTGCAAGGGCGCCGACACGGTGATTCTGGAGCGGCTGAACGACGACAACCCACACGTCGAGGCGACGCTGCGCCATCTCGAGGAGTATGCCTCCGAGGGCCTGCGCACGCTGTGTTTGGCGGTGCGCGAGGTGCCGGAGCACGAGTTCCAAGAGTGGCTGGGCGTCTTTGAAGCGGCCGGGACGACGATTGGCGGCAACCGCGCCGACGAGCTCGACAAGGCGGCGGAGCTGATTGAGCACGACTTTTACCTGCTGGGCGCGACCGCCATCGAAGACAAGCTGCAGGACGGGGTGCCCGAGACGATCCACACGCTGCAGCAGGCGGGCATCAAGGTGTGGGTGCTGACGGGCGACCGGCAGGAGACGGCCATCAACATTGGCATGAGCTGCAAGCTGCTGAGCGAGGACATGATGCTGCTGATTGTCAACGAAGAGACGGCGGCCGCGACGCGCGACAACCTGCAGAAGAAGCTCGACGCGATCCGCACGCAGGGCGAGGGGCTGGCCATTGAGATGGACAACCTGGCGCTGGTGATTGACGGCAAGTCGCTGACGTTTGCGCTCGAAAAGGACCTGGAGCGGCTGTTTTTGGAGCTGGCCATTATGTGCAAGGCGGTCATCTGCTGCCGCGTGTCGCCGCTGCAGAAGGCGCTGGTGGTCAAGCTTGTGAAGCGCTACCAGAAGCAGTCGATCCTGCTGGCGATTGGCGACGGCGCCAACGACGTGTCGATGATCCAGGCCGCGCACATTGGCGTGGGCATCAGCGGCATGGAGGGTCTGCAGGCGGCGCGGAGTGCCGACGTGTCGATTGGGCAGTTCCGGTACCTGCGCAAGCTTCTGCTGGTGCACGGCGCGTGGAGCTACCACCGGGTCAGCAAGGCGATTCTGTACTCGTTCTACAAGAATATGACGCTGTACCTGACGCAGTTTTGGGTAGGTTTCCGTCACCATTCTTTCTTCCTCTTTTTTTTTTTTTTTGCCTCCCACTGACAGTCTAGTACACCTTCCAAAATGTCTTCTCCGGCCAAGTCATCTACGAGTCGTGGACGCTGTCGTTCTACAACGTGTTCTATACGGTGCTGCCGCCGCTGGCGATGGGCATCCTGGACCAGTTTATCTCGGCACGCCTTCTCGACCGCTACCCACAGCTGTATGGCCTGGGCCAGCGCAACGAGTTATTCAGGATCAAGATCTTTATCGGCTGGATCCTGACGGCCACGTACCACTCGATTGTGCTGTACGTCTTTGGCGAGCTCTTCTGGTACGACGACCGTATGCTCAGCAACGGCCAGACGGGCGGGCACTGGGTGTGGGGCACGGCGCTGTACGGCGCGGTGCTGTTGACGGTGCTGGGCAAGGCGGCACTGGTCACGAACAACTGGACCAAGTACCACATCATTGCCATTCCCGGCAGCATGGCCATCTGGCTGGGGTTTATTGCCGTGTACGGCACCGTGGCGCCGCTGATCCGCATCTCGACCGAGTACGAGGGCGTGGTGCCGCGGCTCTACTCGAGCGCCGTGTTCTGGCTGCAGATGTTCGTGCTGGCGATCATGTGTCTGTTGCGCGACTTTGCGTGGAAGTACGCCAAGCGCATGTACCGTCCGGAGACGTACCACCACATCCAGGAAATTCAGAAATACAACATCCAGGACTACCGGCCGAGGTATGGTCTTCCGGTCTATCCCCCCGCCCCCCCAAATTGTTGTCGAGCCATTGTCGCTAACTGTCTAGAATGGAACAATTCCAAAAGGCGATCCGCAAGGTGCGGCAGGTGCAGCGGATGCGCAAGCAGCGCGGTTACGCCTTCTCGCAAGCAGACGAGAGCCAGACGCGCGTGCTGCAGGCGTACGATACCACCCAAGTGCGTGGTCGGTACGGCGAGATGGCGTCGTCGCGGACGCAGTAAGGGCGACGGGTGTGGAGAAGAAAAAGATCGCGAGGAGGCAGAGGGAAAATATATGCGAGAAGAGAGGCCGCCAAAGCATGGCCGCGCGTGTGGAGGCGGCGTGGAATCTAGGGCGTCGGTGTACCAAAGTTATTTTATATTTTTTGTTTTCTGTTCCTTCTTTTAAACTCTTTTCGTTTTGGGCGAGCTTGATCTCTATATTTCGATCCTATTGTCTTCTCATTCTATTTTTTCTTGTACAATGTAAAAAGGATCTCCTATTTTTGCAATGTCTGTATTCTGGACACGGGAATGGAGGACAGGGGGCTATGTGGAATTTCAATAGTGCAATGATGGATCAGACAAAATATGTGCTCGAACTATGACACAAAATATCAACACAGTATCGACATGCTTTTGCGCTCTTAGCGGAGCAGTGCGAGAAGCGCAACCGGTGGTCGTTTACGTTGATGTCAGTGCCGTTGAGGTAACGTTTTGGCCATATTCTGAGCCCCGACAACATGTCATGCCATTTTCTTCCTCGCACTTCTGATCGTCCCTAAAGTTGGGCGCAAGACAGAAACACAGTTGGCAACTTTGATTCTTGCCAACACTTGACTTTCACCTCCGTTAGAGACCCGTCTTCTATGTCCCTCAAAAGAGACTGCATGTGGTCTCGAGCACTGAATCAGCTATTGCACTTTAGAGATAAAAAGTGGATCTTCAGTGTAAGTGGACGAGTCGTCGTCGACGTCTTTGTTCTTGTGCTTCAACTGACTGGCGTGTTGTGTGCAATGAGAGCCGTTTTCCACGCTAATTCATGTTCCTATGACATCTCTTCCCCGCACGAGACAACATCTCCAAGTTGACAACGGACGAGGCGAGAGGAGAAAGGAGAACGATTCCCGATATAGTGTTGGTCTGGGGAGAACCGAGACGAGTCAAGCAGACAACTGTGGAGTCAATGTGCTACCTCAGCCCTCCAGGAAATACATCACTGAATAAGTGACAGCCGCGGATCGTGGGGTGCCATATTTATATTAGGAGCACATATTCGCTCTTCATATATTGTTATATATGCTGTGCTGATCATGTCGATGGTGAGCCTAATTGTTGAGTCGTGCTGAATTCGGCCTCAGAAAGCTGGTAGCCTAGACCATAATCCGACAGTTTCCTCGACTCCGCCGTCCTCATCATGGCCACTAACGGAACAAACGGAACTCATGCCGGCAACGGACCCCGCCGCCCCATCCGCATCGCCGGCTGCTCGGCCGGTGTCTACGACCGCAAGCGTGCATTGCACGACCTCGCCAAGAACGACGACCTCGACGTGATCACGGGTGACTGGATGTCCGAGTGCAACATGACCTGGCGCGGCGCCGACAAGCAGGAGCGCCTGGCTGGTGGCGACACAGCCAAGGTGTCGTCTACCACTGGCTTCGAGCCGTCGTTTGTACAGAAGCTTGACCCTGCGATCCCTTGGCTGGCAAGGCGCGGCATCAAGGTGGCCGTCAACGCAGGCGCCAGCGACGTGGCTGGTCTTGCCGACGCTGTGCGCAGCCTGTGCACCAAGCACGGTGTTGCGCTCAAGGTCGGTTATGTCGACGGTGACGATGTCACTGAGGCATTTATGAAGCTGTATAACAAGGGTGCGCTCTTCTTTATTTTCTTCGTCTTTTTGGTCCTCGCTTCGCTCGAATTTTCATTCTCGTATTGCTGCTAACTCGTATCCTTGCTTCGGTCGGATGTTCGGATGCAGGCGAACCCTTCTTAAGCCTCCCCCAAGATAAGGCCATCCAAGACTGGGGCTTTCAACCTCTCGCGGCCCAGTGCTACCTCGGCGGATCGGGCGTCGCCGCCTGCCTTGCCGCTGGCGCTGATATTGTCGTCTGCGGCCGTGTCTCCGACGCCAGCCTTGCCGTCGGTGCCGCCATGTGGTGGCACGGCTGGACGCGCGAAGCGCATGTCGACGAGCTCGCAAGTGCCCTCATGGTCGGTCACCTTATCGAATGCGGCACATACGCCACTGGTGGCTATTATTCCGGGTTCAAGGCGTTCGGCAAGAAACGCACAGATTTCGGGTACCCCATTGCCGCCATTGACCACAAGGGCGAGGCCGTCATCAGCATGGAGCGCGGCCGCCACGGCACGGTCAATACCGGCACCATCACGAGCCAGCTGTTGTACGAAATCCAGGGCCCGCTGTACTACAACTCGGACGTTACCGCGCAGATCGATGGCATCACCTTCACGCAGGTAGGCGACAACCAGGTCCACATTGGCGGTGTTAAGGGCCTGCCGCCACCGCCAACCACGAAAGTTGGCGTCACCGCGCACGGCGGCTACCAGGCCGAGTTTCACTTCTACATCACGGGGCTGGACGTGGCCGAAAAGGCCGCCATGATGGAAGAGCAGATCCGTGAGCTGATTGGCAATGATATCGACAAGTTTTCGGCGCTGAAATTTCAGCTCGCGGGAGGCGTGCCGTCTGACCCGGAGTCGCAGGAGGCGGCCACTGTTGATTTCCGCGTTGTCGCCCAATCGCCGCATGCCGACCTCTTGTCCGGCGACATGGTCGGCGCCGACCGCGGCACGTTTGCCAGCTACTGCATCGAGAACTTGTCGCAAGGATACCCAGGTAGCACCATGGCGATCGACATGCGCGCATCGGTCGGCCGGCCGTACTTTGAGTACCGGGCGTGCCTCATGTCGCAGGAGTTCGTGACGGAAACGGCGCACTTACCTGACGGTACGGCCGTCGTTATTCCACCGCCAGACCCGGCCACAATACGGGAGTATGCGCGCGAACAGCCCAGCGGCGACACGGCCAACCCCGTCACCGACCTCGTCGCAGCTTTTGGCCCAATGACACGTGCGCCTCTCGGTTACGTTGTGCTGGGTCGCTCGGGTGACAAGTCGTCGAATGCCAATGTCGGCTTCTTTGTGCGCAACGATGACGAATGGGACTGGCTGCGGACGCTGCTGACTGTGGGCAAGCTGTGTGAGTTGCTCGGCAAGGACGACACCGGCAAGCAGATCGACCGCTTTGAGCTGCCGAAACTGCGTGCCGTCCACTTCTTGTTGAAAGACCATCTGGACAGAGGCTTCAACTCCACCACAGACTTCGACAGTCTTGGTAAGAACCTCTGCGAGTATCTGCGTTCCAAGCACGTCGACATCCCCAACAAGTTCCTGGAGCGTGGGCGTATTTGAGACGATGGGTGTCTGTAGACTCCGTAGGATCAAAAAACGTTTAACAAATTCGAAATAGTTCGTTTCTCTGGTTGAATATCAAACCCAAAATACGAATCGCAAATTGTATTTTATCATGTTGCCACATCGTAGAACTGGCCTGCTCTTGGAGTCTCAACCTCATACTGGTAGATAGTCCAAGCCGGATTCCATGGGCATGGCCATGGGCATGGAAAGTGGTTGTACTGGCGGTGCAGGTGAGGACGGCGATGTGGTCGTCGACACTGTCGTTGACGGTGATACTGGTTGTGAGGCTAGCTGTTCGCCTATAAGCGTCTGCGTCTGTCCATCCTCATTCAGATGCAGCGACTCATCGATCAGCCTGGCCATCTCTGGAAACCGCGCCCGAAACACGTCGCCCACTTCCCAGTTCGCTAGTTTGGCAATGTGGTGTGCAAACACAGGGTTGACTAGGTAGTCGTTGACGTCGCCATCGCCATCACCGTCTCTGATGAAATTGTTGTTGCTGCCCGGCGCACTTGGCGCCACAATCACCACCATCGACGGATCGTATGGCCAGCGGATCTGTACGCTGGTGCCATAGCTGGCTGCAAATTGATCAAGAGTGATCTCAGGATGGACGACGAGGTAGTCGCGTGCAGCAGGCCTGAAGATCAGTGTCAAACAATTAGCACAGGACGTGCCGCATCATAACGAGAGGGAAGGGGAGGTTACCAAGGAATGCGGTCGATCCACGGTGGATGCTCGATGGTGCGCTGGGCACGGGTAGGTCGAAGCCAGACGGGGACGCTGTTCCAGCTGGGTTCGTCGAGGAGAACGAACCACTGAAGCGAGTGTGAGTAGTGAGAAAGCGACGAAAAAGGTACCAGAATAGCAGAGCCAAAAAGAAGGAGACAACAAAACACACCGTTAAGAGATGCGTCATCAGAAAGTGGACGGCAATTTGCTTGGGTAGCGTGTCAAGCTCGGAATATGTGCGCACGACGTCACTCGCGAGCCTTGAAACTTTGTCTGTGCCACGGCGACGGCTGTCGAGGAGAGGTGTGATGTCAGGGGCCGAGCTTGTTGACACGGAGGTGGCTGACGGAGGCGACAGGGCCACGGTCCGGCGCTGGACGTCGACAAACCCCTGGAAGAGCTGATCGGCGATGCTCGTCGGCGGACTGTTCAGAGGTGGCGTCTTCCACAAGGGGGAGGGCGAGGAGGTCGCTGCTGACGTTCCATCCGTCGGTTCAGACGCTTCGGCGGCCTTTTGGCGTAGCATGGCATTCTCTGCTGACACGGCATCCAGCCGGCCCCTGACGACACTCAGCTCCTGGCTCTGCCGCTCGACGACCCGCGTCAGCGTCGACACCTGCTCCGACAGGTTGTGGATGGTGGACCGCGTCCGGTCACGCAGGGCCTGTTGGGCCCGCCGGTCGCGGGCACGCTTCTTGTCGAGTGGACGACTGCCTTCAGGCGGTGGAACCCGGCGACCTGTGCCTCTCTTGTTTTTAAGAGGTTCCGCCGGTGCTTGTGGTTGCGGCGGTGCTGTCTCCGCCACCGGTGACGGGCTCATCAACCCCGGGTTGCCGTCGGTCGCGGGCAACGTCATGATGTGACGTTGCGATGCTGAGTTGTTTACTTGCAATTTCTGAGAAGTGCGCCGTCAACAGACTGCGCTCTATGTCGTACTTGTTCTTTCCGTTTTCAATGCCATCCACAAACGGCAACATCGCCATGTCCCTACGACACACTACGCTCCTTCTTGATGCTGTCTCGCACCTGCCCTCTTCATCTCCACAGCGTCGTGTGGGGTAAGAACCACCAAGCTACTGCACTTTTTGGGAAGGCGCCGCTTGGTCTCGCCTGCCCCGGATTATCATTACCGGTCATTTTCACAAGTCGAGAGGGGAGGCCGGCTAGGAAGGCACCGCGATAGCCGCTTCTTTGTCTAGTACGAGTGCAGTCACGAGTCTCGTGATCTCGAGATCATTCGTTTGTAGTGCAGCGATAACTCCGCAAGCCCAACTGAAGAGGATCGAGGATCGACAATCGCTGCAATCATTCGAGATAAGGACCAAGACAATCACCAAAGGCTGCCCATCTGTTATCTGCTTTCGGCTTCATCCCCGGCTCGTCTCGATTGGCCATTCATACTTTGAAATTGGCAGCTGCGACTTCGTCGTCGTAAGTACGGAATGCCTCGTATATCCTTATGGGTTATCGATTTGAGGCAAGCGATGATCGGCGGCGGCCTTCGATGCCAAGGCCCGTTTACTTTCGGCATCCGATATGATATCGATGTCGGACGACCATCGTTTCGATTTGCGTTGAGCCACAGGCCCACAGGCCAAAGGTGACCGTTTTTACCATGGAGGATGACAATAATGTGAGGCTCACAGTTCTCGTGTAAGACGGATGGAAGGTAAGCTGCGCGGTGTGAGGTGCCGATGTCGGCGTCACCTCGGTTTAAGATGCGCATGTCCACTGTCGCAAGGCTGGCCCGTCAACGGCACAGAAGAGTCATGCACAGAGCAACATGGCCTGAGAATTGCCATGCAGGACGAGTCGAGGCCTTGTCCAAAATAGACATCGGGCACAAGAGGTGATAGTGAGTCAGGCTCCATGTTTCTCCAGACAGTACTCTTGTTATCAAGGCCAGGGAAGAAGGCGATATCGGGCGGAATGGCGCAAGGCAATTGGGTATTTGCAATAGAGAACCTCGACAAAGACAGAGACGAAAGCCGCAAAGGGATGACTCTTCAGCCTTATGGTTGACGAGTGAAGGAAGCGTTGTGGAGAATGCGGCAGACGAAGACGAAAGAGGTTGGCGGGAAAAGTCGGGAAATCCGAATTGGCAGCGAGGATTTGGTCCAGCCATTGATAAGGCCAGCAAAGAAACGGGACAACTCGAGAGGACACAGGAGACAAGGAGAGACAAGCAACGAAGAAGAATAGGAAGAGGGCGAGAAAGAAAACTAAAAATAAAAAGACCGTCGGCTTGACTGACTTTTGTGTCTTATTTCGTGACGTAAGAGAAGGGGACATTTCGAGATGCCATGAATGTCTGCCGTCTCTAGTCCCTGGCCTAGACGTGTCTGGTTTGTTGACCGGGGTTGAAGACACCAATCGGCCCTCTTGTTGCTTGCCACATGTATGGCCAGGGGAAGGGGAAAAAATTCATGTCTATTTCATTGCCTACCACGAGGAGCGCGACGTGAAGCCGTCATTGGCAAAACATAAGTCGGGCAAATGGCACCCTGCCTTGCTTGGTAGTTTGTACGTAAAGTGCATACGTCGGCGGACAAACATGTAAGGGAGATGCCACTCAGGTCGCAATTGGTCTCTACGAAGGAATGAGGGGCTTTCGACGTCGATCGAGAGCTCTCCCTTTCAGAATGTCGATTGCAGGCACCATGTGGTTGTCTTGTTTGTGCGTATGTCTCGGCTGCATGACAGTGCCGACATTCGTGCCAAGTATTTGCCTACTTGTTCCAGACCAAGCAACACAAGAGCGTCTTAGTTTTCAATCTAAAGGTGGTGTGGTTTTTATGTTCGTTGCCGGCGGTAGCGTGATCCAACCGTGTTCATGGCGTGTTGATGGAAAAGTGATCAGCAAACGTCGTAGCGTGTCAATTTGGTGTTTTTTTTTTTTTTTAATGAAAGATGATTTTGTTATTTTTGTCGATTGCATGAATGGCGGATCGACAACAAAGAGCAATATACAAAAGATATGTTACGACATTATATCGAGATGGACTGCCACAAGTGTCTGGACCAAATTCTCGGCAAAAGAAAGTAAACAAGCAAGGCACAGCTTTTCGGTTGTGGGGGTCACATATGCTCACTCTCATCCGTCGCCCTGTCACTCCCAAGAACTAGTCGAGGGTTGTGCGATAGGAGAATAAAATGGCATACCACGGCATGCAACATGCAAGTGTTTCACATGAGGCAAACTGTCTTGTCTGCTGTCGGAAGAGAACATGGCGGAAGATGTCGTTATCTCGATTGCCCGCGACGACATACAAAGATCCGCACAGGCGACAGGTCGTGCAGTGGATGCTCCAGGCGGGACCGACCATTTGCATACAATGGCGGAAGAGGGACTGAATCCGACGTACGACATTTTATGGTACGAATGTACCGAGCGGACACGGGCTGCGATGCATATGCAAAACCATGGAAAAGGGCTGGTACGTACCAATACACAGTGTGGGTTACGTTGTAATCCAAACCGTCGATTACCGCGCGGCTTTGCGACTTGGACAGCAGGGACACAGATCAACAAAAATAGAGGAATTGAAACGGAAAAGAACGGACAGGGAGATTGTGGGATGGGGTTAGGCGACCCATGCCTCGATCCTTGGCGGACGATAACTCTTGACTACAGCAGCGTATCGCTGTGAGTAGCAGGACAACCGCAAAGGGCAAGCCGAAGATATTGTTTGTTGCCATTTTGAGAGGGGAGAAGAGATCGCCTATTGACAACAGCGATGGGCCAATGAAACACGAAAATCAGACAATGGTCATAAAAGTCGACAGCCGCAACTACAAGGGATGATGGCAGATTCGACATGAATTGTCCAATGTTGCATGGGTCAACTGACTCACAAAGGGAGAATTGTGGAATGGAAATCATGTACGGACTGCTCGGTGCAGAGTATGGCCTACTCCGTAACGTTTGGCATGAAAGGCAAAGGCCTTGGCGACGTCCCTGTGCCTCTTCTTGCGTGACTCTTTTGCTTCTATTGATAGCAGCCCCCTCTTTCTGGGATTGTCTCGAAACGGCAGGTCCGGGATATGTGCATATGCAATATAGAGGACGACGTCGACCTCGAGAAGGGACAAGATACAACGTCGTAATTCGTAGATTGATTGTCCTCCTCCTGTCGCCCGTCTTCTCGCCCACCTGCAGCTGGACCTTTTTGGCCATTTTCTAGGAGGGTTGCATCAATGCCAATCAATGTGCCTGTCCCCCCCCCCCCGCGAAGGACCCCTCTCTTTTCATTTGATTATAGATGAAGCTGTCCGATCACACTCGTTGGATACGCTCGACGGCCGCGATCACAGCGTTCGCTGCGATAAGGTCTTTTATGTGCATACGAGTAAGAAAAGGCACCCCCACGTCTTTCCTCGATAACCAATGCCCTGCCAGGAAGTCGAGCACTGAAGACACATCGAATGAAGCGGGGGAATCGATGCGATGCTGCAGGCAGACGCGGCACGGGAAGCACAGAGGGTGGGAAAACAGGATACAAGGCAGGGATGGCAGGGGATGGAAAGAGTGGGAAGAGGGCAGCCTTGGGCAACAGTTGCCCTGGATGTAATTTTACTTGGCTGTTTCGACTTGACGTGACGCCGTCCGGAGAGACGGAGGAGCCAGAGCTTCTCCTTCTTTTGTGCCGTCTGCTCTCAGGGCAGGCAAGCCCAATAATGGAAAACAAATAAGACACGGCGCGTTGCAAGTCGGTGGGGGCGAGTTGTCTGTTGGTGATCCCGGAAAACGAGCACAGAAAAGAATGGAATGAGGGAGAACGCCCGTTGTGCAGATAGTGCAACCTGAGCTACAGCTGTGCGGCGTGACAAGAGTGGTCCAAAACCAGGGGTGCATCTGTATGCTGGTGATTGTGGACGACTGTGTGAAAGACGTGTGAAATCTCTTTGGCCAATCCTTGCAGCTGGCCATTGGTTTTTTTTTCTTCTTTTTTTCTTTATTGGTCCTCGTTCATTCATTTGTGCAAATTCATCTGAAACCCATCGCGAAAATTCTTCCGAATGTTTACATGCAAAGCTGAAGTGAAAAGCGAAAATACACTCAGGCTCGCATGAGAAGAAAACTCTTCTTCGTTGGCGGCTTTTCGTTTCTGTGCTGTACCAATCCAAAGAGGTTTCTGCAGCGCGTGGACGCCAACGATGGAGACGGGAGACTTGGACTGGAGACAGGAGACTGGAGACTCATGGCCCATGCGGCCGCCCCATGCCGATGGACCGGCAGCCACCCGGAGTACGTCGTACCTGTATAGTAGGAGGCCTGCAAGGGATCGAGGTGAATGGCTTGTTGGATCGTGAATGAAAAAATTTCAAGCCCTCGTCTTTTCGAAATCCTCGACTGTCTTGGATTTTATTTTTGTAAACGTCGAGGTCACTCTTCCGTCTGCCGGCCTCGTGTGGATCTTTCCTAGCTGCAAATCCGCATGGCATTACTACTCTGTAAATATAGAGAAACGTGCTCGGCTATTTTTCGATTCGTCTTGTCATAAACCAACGGTGAGCACTCCATACAGGCCTGCACGTTGTCCAAAGCGACGGCGTGCGCTCAGGGCTGGCCAGCAGCAACTAAGAGAGCAAAACCTGCACGGTCGGGCTGGTTCGTCTTCCCAAAGCGGAGAAATTCAGCAAAAGTAGTGAGCAGACGAGGCGAGTGAAAGGATCTTCGAGGAAACGAGAGAATTCCTGGGGATATGTCGGCACGAAACAAAGGCAACTCAACGGAAACGAGGCAGCAACCAGTGCTCCGAGATCAGTAACAAACCGCTCGAAACACTGTAGTAGGCAGTTGGGCTTCCGGTAACCCAGTGTTGATATCGACAGACGTCTTGTTTCAGTGCTTTGTTGGTTGTCTGTGAGCATCGTGCTGTGGTCAGGAGCGGTCCATCGGTCCTTCCTGCTTTCGCCATGGCTGCCCCAAATGGGACAAGGGCGTGGCGCCTTCCTGCAACGGGGTTCGCGTCACCACAGTCACCGCCGCCCGTCCCACACGTTTCCACAGGGCTGGTTCATATTTCGTACGGAGTATATTTCGTACGAATGTACTCGTATGAATGTGTCGTTGCCGTTGTGTTTTCCTCGCCCCGTCGCCGTCGACTATGTGAAAATTCTTCGAAACGCCATCACTTCCTTCCTCCCTGGCTGACGCTTACACCATTTGTCTCCACCTGCTCTTGCCATGTCGTTGCAAGCCATCGTTCCTTCCTCCCCAGGCTCACTCACCAAACTCCGTACACCGTGCCAGCCGTCTTTTCCTACTGTGCACTCTGTGCCTCGACGGAAGAGCAATTGCGCAATCGACCATTGCCATAGTATGTCGACGTAATGAATCCGTTTTGCTTTGCCTTGGCTACTTTAGCGCCTAGCACGGTGTATCTTACGTGTGATCATGCTTCGATCGCCAGGCCGTCTGACTCTGTCGTCGTAAGTCTGTGTTCGCGTTTCTTCCATTGGCATTCTTTCTGCTCTGTAATAATCCGTACTCCCTACACCTTCTTTTTACACAGTGTCCACCGGGCAGGACGGGAAGTGACTCGTGGAAAAGGCGCGGCCGCCCGCCCTTGCCCTGGCCTTGGCCCTGTAACCGCGCCCTTGCGCCCTGAAACGGTCTGGGCGTGCGGTGCCCTGTCCACCGCTCTTAAGATGCCTAAAAGTACTCTCATCATCGTTTTCGCCCATCGTTACGTTCCCTTCTCCCTTTCCCTTCGATTCTTTCGTCCCTTTAACCTTCCCCTCTTCTCTCTTCTCCCAACGGCTTCCTCGCCCCCCAACGGAAGTCTGTGAACGGGACAAACAGTGTCTGCCTACGTATGATATGACTACAGTGAAGTCAAACACGTCAACGGCTTTTACCAGCCGGCAACAGTTACCTCCTTCCTTGCCCCCTTCCCTGAATGACTAACAAAACTCCCAAGTCGGGAACGTGGATGGCTTCTAGACCCCATTTGTTTGTACTCCGTATGTCGTACCAATTTGTATCTTAGTTGACAACCCAGTCCTCAGCCTGGGCCAGAACCGTCTCTTTATCCACAAGGCCAAGATCCCAGTCAACAACCTGCTCACAATGTCATCCACAGTGCTATCCACAGTCGTGACCACAGCTGTCGACCACCATGCGCTGCTACGCGCTGCCATTGGCGATTCCAGCTGTCGACTTTTGCTGGAGCACGACTTGTCTCCGCTTTCGGATCGGCGTAGCGTCTCTGGGCAGTGAGGTGTGTGGTGACCCTGGCGAGCCTGAGGTCACAGTCGACCTTTCAGGCCACTCACAGCAACGTATGGTCTCCCCCAAAACACGCATTACTGCTGCTACACAAATCCACCAGGCCAGACATGTCCATACACAAAGTGACTTTTCACCCATATACAAACCACACAAAAGAGGCAGGTACCAGCCTTTGTCGCGGTCCATCAGAAGATGGTATCTTGATCTTACGTATCTTACCGCTCGATACCGCAGGCTGTCCCTCCAAGGCAAGGACGGTCCATAGATTTGATGTCTCAGCGGGGCGACCGCGCCGTCGCTTGTCGACCGTCGACCAAAAGGCCTACCGCCTCAAAGGCCTGTGGCCCTGTGCCTTTCGAGTTACGTTTGGCGCCATGCGTTTTACGTACGAATGTACGTCTTGCGACCGTAGGCTTATTTATTTTTAATTGTTTTGGAGGTCCTCGGCGCGATCACGCAAGAACCAGTCGTCCAGACGTCGCCCGCGGCTCTCTGATCTCGCCTTTTTCGCCGCGTCGTGCTCCATTGTGTACCTCGTGGTGTTGCGCTGCTTGTTGCTGAACGAGTATATCACTTCCCAAGGTCCCTCGTTTCGTCTTCGACTTGTCTTTCTGTCTTTTTGGAATTTCTTTTGCTCCGTCCTGTGTCCTTCCACTTTGCCTTTCTCAATCGACTCTTCTTAACTCCACCAGCACTCAATCGCCAGTCTCAAAAGCAAGGCTCCTTCCCCTTCTCCATCCCGGCCAGCCGCTCTTTCCCTTGCTCACCTCCACCCGCTTGCTCGCTCACCTCGAATCCCGCACCAGCAGTCTACGTCATTGCCTGCGGTCTTTCCAAATCTCCGTGCCTCCTTTCAACACCGGTCCATTGCTCTTTCCCGCCGGTTGCGCCAGCTAGTCAACAAACAAGAGACAAAAAGCATCCATTCCCCCTGAGTCTGCTTTCATTCGGACATCACCACTTCTTCACTCTTATCAATTCCCTTTCCCACTGATTTTACGCGCCACGTTGTCCTGGTCGTGTACTGCCACGTTCGTCCACTCCCCTCGTCCACATCCTCAGTACGACAATCCAGGCACAAGGCCCGACCACCACACCATCTTCCGCCAGCTGAGATACAAAACTACTTTGTATCAACCACGGTATCCCTCACGTTCTCCAGTCTTCGGATCCCAATACCTTTATCGACAAGTGATCAGCCACCGTCTCGGAACGCCCACGCATACCAATCTCTCCCATTCGGGCCCCCCTCACATCCTGGACGCCTTTGCGCTTTTTGTCTATCACACCCTTTAACCAGCCCTTTGAACATTCCTTTTTTTTTCGTCTGCTTCTTCGCCTCTTACTTTTACCTCCTCTTCTCGTGGATCACCAGCACCCTGGCCAACTTTCTGCCAGGGGTTCCCTTTACTCCTCTTTTTGGTCGCCTTCCCCGCCCCCAATCTCGAGACATCGTCGTCGCTTTTGCACCGGACGCCAGCTCGTGCCATCCACGAATACCCACCTGACACCCCCCCCGTTTTCCGATATCCGCTTGATTACCCACCACTACCACTGTGCACTGTGCTCCTATTTCCTCGCATTATCCTCTGCGACGTTTCGGCTGGATTTTGGCTCCTACTTTGGCTTGTCCGCCATCCGCTATCTATCGCCAGAACGAGTTCGCTTGCTTCGACGAGGCCTTTGATCAACATCCTTTACACCACCACCACCACCATCCCTGGTGCGTATCAATCCCAACAGCCGAGATAGCCTGCGACCAAATTCCACAGGTAAAACGAATACAACACAAAACAACACGTCCACGGAAAGGGAACACGGATGACAAGGCGCACAAGCGAGCTTTTGCACAATTTACGACAATCTACGGAGTACATGACTATCTGAACCAGCCTGCCAAGGATTCCCCACGATTTTTATCACGACCAGGGTCTCATTTTCTTCCACGGCGCTAAAGCCCTTTCTTTATCTGTGGCATTCCTCTCTTGTCCCCTCTTATTCTGGTCCCATTTTCCTGTCCCTTCTGACCTGTCTGCGTCACTTTGGGCATTGGACTATTTGACTCTCGTCGTTCGCCATCTCTTGTCGTTTTGTCTCTTTCGGCCCGTCCTGGTTTTAAACGTCAGAAAAGACCCTTCACCTTCCTTGTCAACATAAAGACCAACCAACCAATCAACTCTACCACGCAACGGGAATACCGCAGCACACAGCATCCCACGCACAAATCAACCCCCCCCGCAAAACAGCTGAAGGGATTAAACCCCCATCTTACACCCCATTCGCATCCCGAACAGGCAAGCGAGTAAATGCAGAAATTTTTCTTGCTGCAGCCCAGCTTGACATTTCGCCACCTGCGATAGCACGAACAAACCAATTTGACTTTTTTTTATTCCTCGTCATTTTGTGTTTTATTCACTTTTTTTACTTCGCCCTCAGATATTACTCACCCGTTACCCACCGTCTCCGTTTCTCACTATATAACGTCGCTGTTTATTTTCTTTCTTCTTACTCTCTTACTCTCGCCAAACATATTCCCATCGCTTATCATATAAGAGAGACAGCGTTTCTCTCATCACGACTATTTCAACCCGCCAATCTAAAATATACGACAACTGACAACACCTGACCACATTCACTGCGGTACGACATTTTACTTCCAACGCCTTTTGATTTATCGTCAAACGCACGGTCAAGCACAAAAGACAAAAGTTGTGACTGCGCGCCAACCGCCAGCAAAATCCATTTTCTCTCGACAGCCTTACACAACTCACAAAATGCACCACTCCCGGCGGAAATCTGGACACGGTTCTATGACCGATGTCCGAAAGGCGGCGTCCACTTCCGACTCCAAGCACAAAACGTCCTCCAAGCATGGCAACAGCAGTAGTAGCAGTCGCCGGACAGGCAGCTCCTCGCAACCCAGCTCAAAGTCCAGCAAGTCGGGATCTTCGAGCCGGGACGCAGAGAAGCTACGTGACGACGACTACTGGTACGACGACGAGAGGGAAAGCTTCCCGCAGTTCTGGTTAGTGACAACACAACTCTACACACGACCGTGCCCCCTCGCTTCTTGCCCCTCTTTCCTTGGCTCTCATAGCCGGTATGCCCCTTTTGGTCAACTTGCACCGGGCACCTGACGCGCAATTTGCCTCAGAAGGCGTGCGACGTGGCTGCACTCTATCAATGTCCTTCGTCTTGTCTAAATGGAATACCCCGCTGACTGAGTTTCTCAATATAGCATGACCTGCGAGAAGCAATTTGTCGCAAAGGATGACCGTTTCCTCTACTGTTCAGAAGCGTATGTCTCAACTTGCCGTACAACATGCATTTACACAGGCCATGAACCGAATGCGAAGACGCAGCTAACACAACACCATTTGCAGTTGCCGGGACTACGACCAAGAGCACGGCGCCAGCGTGAGCGCAAAAAGCTTCAAGGACACCTATGCCAGCAGCAGGATGTACTACACGGAGGCCCAGGAGCCGCGCGACATTATCCCCCGCGCGTCACCCTCCCGGCCCAGCTCCACCTACTTCTCGCTCCCGCCCACGCCCGCGAACATGTCCTCCACTGTTCCTGCCACCACGTCCTCCGCCATGGCTGCGCTGCGTTCCTTGTCTCTGCGCGACGCCAGCCCCCCATCGCCAACACTAGCGGCCTCTTCCTCTGGCATCTGGCCCTTCTCCACGCGCAGCAGCGCCACCAGCCCAAGCACATCCTATACGCAGCCCTCGGCGGTGTATGCATCGACGTATGACCAAGGTCAGGGATACTACCGCAGCTCCGGTGCACCCAACTACTACACCTACGGGGCAGGCGCATCTGGGTACCTGACAACAGAGCGGCCATTGCCTCCTCGGCGGCCCAGCAGCTACGCTCGCCCGAAAAGCATTGAGCTCGTGACGCCTCTACTTGGACAATGACTTATTACAGTGAGAAGTGGCGCATGCAGAGCATGCCCACTACTGATCCGATCTTACGGTTCAGCTCAGTGCTTGCCGGGAAAGCAAGAGTCGAGTATTGAAGGTGTGTGGGAGAGTCGGGTGACGCCAACCGGTGTCCAATCCGCCCTCGCACAACGCAGTCACCGGTGACAATAGTGGTGGGGAGAGGTTACCAATCTCCTCGCTCAGCCCCGCCTTGGCACATCATTCTTACCTCATCGACTTCCTTTCGGCGTTGCGCACTTCTCTTTTCGGCATACACCAGGCGGCACGACCGATTCATACAGTCCGGAATCGCAATCGAACATAATCAAAATTGGGGTGGCATAGGAAGTGATTTTTTTCTTCTGGAACTTTTCTTCCCGCGCGTGGGAATCAACTGCATGGGCATACGGTGTTACGTATTTTCTTTCTGTTTTTGGTCTTTTTCATTTCTATCTTCATTTCAGCTGAGCGTATCTCACCCAGCTGGTGCGATATCTATTACCCACCTCATTATAGCTTTGTTGTCACATTTATTGTTTACGTCATCTTCCTGTCTTTGGTTATCATATGGAGCTAGGAGCGAGCCGGATTTGGGTGCATTTGACGAAAACATTTTTAATTTCATTTATTTGTCAATTAATTTTTGACCTACGGTATGACAGTTGAGCGAGCAAATGACTTATTAATGGAATGCGATTTATTCATATGAAATGGTATATGGTATATCACCTTGGATTTGACGGGAATGAGATCATAGGTGAGGGCAGGACTGTCTTTAGGCAGCACGCATAAAAAAAAATTTACTTTTAAACCGTACATGTTTAGATATCTTATACTTTCCTTTAATGCTTGCACGTCCCACCAGAGGAATACGGTTCACGGTGGGGCAGAATAGAATGAATGTTAAAATGATGATCGAGTTAAGGTACGCGACAACAGATATTGCATGTGTCTCATGAAGGCATTTTGAAAGGTCGAGGAAGAAGAACGCACACACTGCATCACCCGAATCGTATCCAAAGTAGAAACTAGAAACTAGATAAAGTAGCAAAGATTTTTTTTTTTTTTTGGATGAGATAATAAAAAGGAGAAAAAATGGCTGGGACAAAAAAAATTAGTTGAAAGGTTGTAAAATATGTACTGGCTCAGAGATAAACCAAGCCACTTCCCACCTTTTTGGGTCTCTCAACCCCTCCCGTCCGGGCTTGCAAACATCATGTGTTGTATGTACAATGTGATGGTTTATATAACGACCATTATCTCATACCTTCCCATCGAAAGTAAAACTAATCAAGAAAAAAAAAGCCAAGTCCATGCCCATGCTCACGCTCAGGCGATTGTTGTCTTGTATCTTATTCATTCTTTTCTTCGTCTTTTCCCTAAACGTGGCACAGCTGGCCGTTCTGGGTGGGGATACCCTCGACCTGGCCGGTGATGTACCAGTCCTCGCTGCCGACGGCGGTGGGGCCGTAGAAGAGGCCCCAGGGGTCGATCTTCTGCTTGTAGGCGTAGAGGCGGGCGTAGTTGTCGGAGCCGTAGAAGGACTGCTGGAAGTTGGGCTCGAGAATGTCGGCCTCGCTCATGTAGGCACCGGCCCCGGGACAGGTGGCGCGCCAACGGGCCTGCCAGTCGTTGGTCAGCTTCAGGCAGGCGGCGGCGATGGTGGCGGTGTCGGCGTCGGCGGCCCAGGAAATGGCCTGGATGGCGTGCAGGACGGTCTTGCGCCAGGCGGGGTTGACGGCGTTGTCGGGGTAGCCGCCGGCCGGGTTGGCGGCAATGTTGAAGGCCAGGATGGTGGAGCCCTGCTCGACGACGTAGCGGATGGCCGCGACGGTCTCGTTGAACAGCGTGGCGTTGCCCGTGGCCGGCTCAAAGTTCTCGCGGGGAAACAGGCGCGAGGCGGTCTTGAGCGTGGAGGCGCCGACGGCCTCGAGCGGGAAGTGCAGGTTCCAGCCGTCGTAGAAGTTGTCGTAGTTGAAGTATTCGAGGGCGTTGACGGACACGCCCAAGGCAGCCCAGTCGGCGAAGAGAGGGGCCAGCAGCGCCTGAAGCTGGGCCTGGCTCAGCTTGGGGGCGAAGAAAGGCGCCATGGCGAAGAGGTAGGTGCCGGGGGCGACCTGGATGATGTCAAAGTACGAGTAGGTGCCGGCATCGGTGAAGACGGGCAGGTACTTGAAGTAGACCGTCATGGCGTCCCAGAAGACGTCCGCCGTGATGCTGCCGCCGCTGACAATGGTGAAGGTGGCGACGGAGACCTGCAGCTTGGGGTAGGCCTTGACGGTGACGGAGGTGACGACACCAAAGGTGCCGCCGCCGCCACCGCGCAGGGCCCAGAACAGGTCGGCGTTGGAGGTGGCGCTGGCCGTCACGAACTGGCCGCTGGGCAGGACGATCTCGAAGGCGAGGACCTGGTCCGCAGCCATGCCGTAGAGGGAGGACAGGGGCGAGTGGCCGCCGCCGAGGATGTAGCCGCCCATGACGCCGACGGTCTTGCCCTCGCCGCCGACGACGCTGACGCCGTACTTGTCGGCGGCCTGGTACATCTCAAAGGCCTGGACACCGGCGCCGAGCTTGAAGGCCGGGCCGGAGTAGCCGTTGAGTTTGAGCTTGGAGAAGAACTGGATCTGCTTCAGGTTGTGGGTCCAGATGGAGAGGGCGCCGGCACCAGCGGACTTGCCAATGAAGTCGTGGCCGGTGTTCTTGACGACGAGGCGCAGGTTGGCGTTGCGGGCGAAGTTGACGGCGAGCTGGATCTGGGCGACGTTGGAGGCGGAGACGGCGTACGAGGGGTAGCCGCCGAGGGTGCACTGGTCGGAGGGGGTGTCGGTGGGCACGCAGGTGAGGCCCTGGTAGAGCGGCCACATGACGGAGGTGGGGTCGTCGGCGTGCATGTAGGAGTCGTTGGACCAGTTGTTGGTCACAAAGGCGCACCGGGAGGCGCTCTGGTCGTTCCAGTTGGTGTAGCAGGGCGAGGCCAGGGGCACGGTCTTGATGAGGGCGCCGGGGCCGAGGAGGAGGCCGAAGACGTCCCAGACGATACTGATGGGGTAGAGAAGGTTGCCGGGTATGACCTTGCACTGGTTGCTCCGGCGGCAGTTGCTGCTGCGCTTGTCGACGGTGGAGGCATCGTCAAAGTCGAACAGGTCGATGCCGGTCAGGTTGAGGGACGTCAGGTTGGCGATGATGCTGTCGGTCAGCTGCGCGGTCTCGGACGTGAAGAGGTCGACCGTGGAGTTGGAGCTGGTGGGGGGGACGTCGGCCGCGGCAGGCGCGACGGTGTCCTCGTTGGCGGCTACGGCATGTTGTCAGCAGGAATAGGAAGGCGCGAGAGTGTGACGGAGGATGCGGAACGATGCGAGACGATGCGGGACCCGTGGGCAAAATGCGGATGTGGTGAGGCAAGTGCGATGCAGCGTCTGTACCTGCAGTAGCGGGTGGAGAGAGGAAGGCGCTATTGGTGGAAAATACAAACAACACAAAAGGACAAAGCGAAACGAAACAAAGCACAGATAAACAACGCCTCAAATAACAAGGCTGAAAGGATGAACAGCCTTTTCAGGCTGTGTGACGGAGCACGGGAAGTCGAGCCAAAAAAAAAAAATACTAAAAAAAAACAAAAGGAAAAAAGAGGGAAAAGAAGACAGCCGAATGAACTTACGGATGGTCGTGTTGTCCACAGTAAGGGACTGTGCGCTGGCAAAAGGTGCGAAGAGGGCGGCGGCCGCAAGAGCGGCTACGCGCAGACTGGGGGCCATCGGAGCGGTTGGTGATGGATGAAGAGAAAGGGAGAGAGACAAAAGGAGGAGAGAAGGAGAAGGGGGAAGGGAGAAGAAATACAAAAGGGAGTCGAGGCACGAAAAGACTGCCAAGAGCTCGAGCAGACCCTGTGCTTTCTGGTGGGAACAGCAAAAAGGGCAGCAGGTAGACAAAAGAGCGACTGGAGAAGTGGAGGACGAGGGAAAGGCGACGGGGGGATGGGGAGGGCCGACGAAGATCCTTTCTGCAAAAAGATTTCCTGGATTCTTGGCCCCGAGACCTGGGACGGGCCAGGTTTATATGTCAAATCCACGTGGCAATGAAGAGGGAGGGCACGGGGACGGTCTCTCGGAGTGGCACCAGAAAAGAAAACGAAGTAAAAAGGAAACGAAGAAAAGAAAAAAAGGGAAAAGGGAAAAGGGAAAAGAAAGAGAGAAAGGACGGGCGGTCGCGACGGGTCTGCCGCGTGCCGCGTTCCCACCTGCCTGGTTTCGATGGGGAAGACTAGAAAGAAAACGAACAAAAAGGAGCCAAAAGCAACAAGCGTGGACAGCATTAGCGAGGGACTATCGGAGTTGCGCGTGAAAAGGACGTGAAAATGGGCAAGGAAGAGCATGACAATGGCATTACGGAGCAGAAAAAGAGGAGCACAGAGAGGGTCAACAAGACGCCGATGACAAGGAGACGGCAGGGAGCCAAGGAGATGGCAAGGGCCTTCGACATAGCATCACATCATGGCATGGCCGGCATGGGTTTTCTGGACGGGGCGATGGCTCCGATTGCTACGTGGTGCGTGTGTTTTTGCATAATGTACATGTACAATGAATGGCAGCCATGGTAGTAATGGGGTGCCAATGGGGGTCAATGGGGTCAATGGGGTCAATTGAGGTCGAATGGGGCATTTCGTTATTTTGCAGGTGGCTGTTGGACGCAAAACAGATTGGGAATTTTGGGAATGGAGAGCAAGTGGAGGAGCAGGGAATGCATCTAAATCTAAGGCAACTGAGGACATCTACGAAGTAAGGTTATTGGACGCATGGCCTCGGAGACTAAGAAACACGTTGGATGGTCTTGGCTCAGCGCGGCGTCTTTGAAAGGAAGCATAGACAAAACGCAGGGACCAGACACGACAGGAGGAGACTGTAGACAAAATTGAGAATTTGGCAAAACAAGCGAGCGTGCAGGCAACTTCTGACTACGTTACCAAACATTGGTGCAAGCGAGCGAGGTGAGTGAAG